CCCCCCTCCCACCTCCCTCCCCATCCTATCCCTCTGGGTTTTCCCAGTGCACCAGCCCTGAGCACTTATCTCATGCATCCAACCTGGACTGGTGATCTGTTTCACACTTGATAATATACATGTTTCAATGCTATTATCTCAGATCATCCCACCCTCGCCTTCTCCCATAGAGTCCAAAAGTCTGTTCTATACATCTGTGTCTCTATTTCTGTCTTGCATATAGGGTTATCATTACCATCTTTCTAAATTCCATATATATGCATTAGTATACTGTATTGGTGTTTATCTTTCTGGCTTACTTCACTCTGTACAATGGCTCCAGTTTCATCTATCTCATTAGAACTGATTCAAATGTATTCTTTTTAATGGCTGAGTAATATTCCATTGTGTATATGTACCACAGCTTTCTTATCCATTCGTCTGTTAATGGGCATCTAGGTTGCTTCCATGTCCTGGCTATTATAAACAGTGCTGCGATGAACACTGGGGTACACGGGTCTCCTTCAGTTCTGGTTTCCTTGGTGTGTATGCCCAGGAGTGGGATTTCTGGGTCATATGGCAGTTCTATTTCCAGTTTTTTAAGGAATCTCCACACTGTTCTCCATAGTGGCTGTACTAGTTTGCATTCCCACCAAAGGTGTAAGAGGGTTCCCTTTTCTCCACACCCTCTCCAGCATTTATTGCTTGCAGACTTTTGGATAGCAGCCATTCTGACTGGCATGAAATGGTACCTTATTGAGGTTTTGATTTGCATTTCTCTGATAATGAGTGATATTGAGCATCTTTTCATGTGTTTGTTAGCCATCTGTATGTCTTCTTTTGGATGACATTTTGGAACCACAGAAGCAGGTCAGTACTTCTGAATTAAACTGGGCAAGCTACATGCTAAAACAAACAGAAAAAAAAAAAGACTATTATCCATTATATTTAAATGAGATCTAGAAAAGAGTCAGACACAACTGAGTGACTGAACTGAACTGAGACATTTATAACATAATATTCAAAATGTCTGGGGCTTCCCAGGTGGCATTAGTGGTAACTAGAGGTATGAAAGTTAAAGTGTTAGTTCCTCAGTCATGTCCAACTCATTGCAACCCCATGGACTATGGAGCACCATAGTCCATGTCCATGTCCATGGAATTCTCCAGCCAAGAATACTGGAGTGGGTTGCCATTTCTTCTCCAGGCAATCTTCCCAACCCAGGGATTGAACCCAGGTCTCCTGTATTGCAGTCAGATTCTGTACCATCTGAGCCACCGGGGAAACCCAGTAGTGGTAAGAACATGCCTACTAATGCATAAAATAGATATGGATTCAATCCCTGAGTTGGGAAGATCCCCTGGAGGAGAGCATGACTACCCACTCCAGTATTCTTGCCTGGAGAATCCCAACGGACAGAGGAGCCTGAAGGGCTATAGTCCATAGGGTTGCAAAGAGTCAGACATACTAAAGCAACTTAGCATGCTTGCATACATTCAACATGTCTAGTATTTAATCCAATGTTATTCAGCATATAAAGAACCAGGGAAATCTCCATTAGTATGAGAAAAGACAATCAACAAATATCAAGGAAAAGATAACACAAATATTTAAATGATTGAAGATTGTTATAAAATGCTCCAAGAAGTAAAGGTAAATGCTCTTGAAGTGAATGGAAAGGTAGAAAATGTCAAGAAGAGATATAAATAGGAGCCTAATGAAAATACAAAAACCAAACTAAAAATTTCACAATTTACTCAACAGCAGAATACACCTGACAAGGGAACAACTCAGTGAACTTGAAGACAAATCCATTAAAATCATCTAATCTGAACAACAGAGGGAAGATTTTTTTTTAAATGAACACAGCCTTAATGACCTGTGATGCAGTACCTAATTTATGTCATCATAATTCCAGAAGATTTTGAAAAAGAAGTATTTGAAGAAATAATATATGGATATTTCCCAGATTTGACAAAAGACAAAGTGAGAAGTTCAGTGAAGCACAAACAGCAAGCTGAATCCAGGAACAAAGAACAAGGTTTATCCCAGAATGCAATGTTGGTTTAACAAACAAAAATCAATCATTATAATACAAAAATATTAATACAAAATATAAAAACCACATGATCATCTCAATAGATGCATAAAACATATTTGACAGAAACATTAAAAAAATTAGGAACAGAAAAGATCTTCCTCAACCTAGTTAAAGCATTGACAAAAAACCCACAGCTAACATCATATTTAATGATGAAAGACTGAAACCTATCCATCCAGGACCTGAAACAAGACAAGGATATCTTCTCTTGTCACTTCTATTCAATATTACACTGGAAGTTCTAGGAAAGTGTTGATAAGTTAGTAAAAAAGACATAGCATCCAGATTCACATGGAGGAAATAAACTTCATTTTCCAACGTTTTGATCTTTCATGTATATAATTATAAGGATTACACACAAAAACACAATTAGACATAATAAGCAATTTCAGTAGAGTTACAGGATACAAGATCTGTATACAAAGATCAATTGTATTTCTATATACTAACACTGAACAATCTAAAAAAATGAAATTAAGAAAACAATTTCATTTACTGTTCAATAATATCAAAGGGAAACTATTTATATGAAGCATCTATAGTAGGTAAATCCATATAGACAGAAGGTAGATTGGTGGTTGTCACATGGGAAGGGGATAGAGTGACAGCTAATGGGTATTTTTTGGGGGGGCGGTGAAGAAAATGTTCTAGAGTTCAATAGTGGTGGTAGTTGTACAACCTTGTGACTATGGTAAAAATGAATGAATTGTGCACTTTAAAAATGTGAATTTTTATCATATGTAAATTATATCTCAATTTTTTTTATATCTCAATTTTTAAAAGAAAAAACACTTAGGAAAAGTTTAACAAAGTTATATATAATTACCTAGTTCTATCTGCCAAAAGGACCTGGGAGCAGAGACATTCCAGTTGCAATGAGCATACCTAGCACCCAGATCTTGGTTTCTGAATACAAGGTACCAGGGCTCATGGGGGGAATGCTTGATTCCAGGACAGGAGAAGGGAAAGTACAGACAAGTTGGAGTATTTTGGAAGTAATAAAGTATGGAAGTCCTCAAGAAATAAAGGGAACATATCAAAAGGACACAGGAGCCAGATTGAAGGGGCTACCTCTGGCCAACTCTAGGGCAACTTAAGTTTCAAAATAAGCAAGTAATGAATTATAATTCATTCAATGAAATTCATGAGCCCATACTGATGTCAAATAAGTGAATATGTAACTAGGGCATCTCAGGATCCTTAAATTAATCACACCTGCAAATTTCCTTTTGCTATGTGAGGCACCATAGTCACAGGCTTTAGGAATTAGGATATTAGCATCTGGGGGGGGCGGCATTATTCTTCCTACTACAACGCTCAACCTTCTATGAGCAGAAAACAGGCTAAGATGACTACTCAGTTGCAAATACAGACCCTTAGTTATTCCAACATTGCCACCATAAGGGGACGTGTGATAAAGAGGAAGTCAGAATGGAAAGAGAAAACTTAAACAATTATGGTTAAAATAGCTTTATTTTACAAATTTTACAAATACATATAACAATAAGAAAATAATGTTGGGTTCTGCCACCCCTCAATCCTGAGGGTGTTTGTTGGAAAGGATTTGTGCAAGTTAGGAGCCTTGAAGCTTATTAAGCTTCAAAAGCTTCATGATAAATCTGCCTCTGGTAGCAATTAAGAAAATGGCACCCAGACCCACACCACCTGGGTTCAGGTTACTGCTCTACACTTATCGGCTATGTATGTTGATTGTGTTGCTGTTACAGCTTGGGTTCTCCAGAAGCAGATGCTGAGGTGATGCTTGAAGTACAAGATATTGCTAGGGATCAGGGTCTGTGAAAGCACAGGGAAAGCAGGAAAGGGCAGAGAAGAGGTCAAAGAAGCTTGACAAAGCCTTGGTCCATGTGGAAGGAGGACTAGAGCCTGTCAGGGCTGTCTCATGTTGGGCCTAAATAACTGGGCTTTTATTCCCTCACCTTGCTCAGTCACTGGACGACTATTAATGCCCTTAAAAACTAACACTGGTGGGATGCAGAGGGAGGTGAGAGGGAGGTAAAAAAGAAAACGTTTCCACTGGATTTTCATAGCAAACAGGCTAAATTTCTTAGTATGACATGCAAAACCCCTTCACAATCTGACAGTCCCAGCCCCAAGGAATTTCTCATCATTTCTGCAACTGAAACTATTTTCCATTTCAAACCTTGGTATACATAAGCACCTTCTCCAGGAAAGCCCATCCCTCCCTTGCAATAGAACAGGTGTTAAATATTTGTTAAATGAATGAATGAGTGAATCAACATTGCCTGGGAAAGAGGGGGAAAGGGTAAGCAGTAGGATTAACAATACTTTTGTTTGCTTAAATGACCATGGGTATGTCGTTCAGAGCAATGACCCAGGACCCCAGAAGTTTGGGTTGTATAAGTCCTAGATTTGTCACGCACTGACCCTAATGGCCTTCACCCTCTTTACCTCCAGTCAAGATTCTACTCATCCTTGGAGATAGTTCAGACGTCAGGTCCTGTGTGAAGTGTTTTCCTCCCCCTGGTCTGTCACAGCTCTTTATTCACACCGCTGTTACCATACCACAACGCTTACTCTCTTCATTTGTCCATCAGAATCCAGGGATGTTTCTGTATTTCCACTCCTTGATCCAGGGAGTAAATATTTTTGAATGACGTGGTACAGCCATAGACTGATGAATTCATCCCTCACCACACCCGTTGCCTTAATTTCCCCAAGTGTGAAATAGGTACAGTGGGAATGCTTCCCCAGGGATGTGACTGGGGGAGGGCGGGGGACACTGAGGCTGCGGGCCGCCCGCATGCTGTCCGAGGGGCAGGAAGATGGGGGGTGGAGAGCGAGGAGGGGTTAGCGAGGAGTCGGGGGCGGGGCCCAGGGGCGGAGCGGCGAGAGCAGGGCCCGGCGCGACGCTCGGAGAGGACGCGCGCGAGCGCCGGCGATGGGCCCCGCGGCGCGGCTGGCAGCGCTGTTGGCGGTGCTGGCGCTACGGGCCGGGGACCCGGCCGAGGTCGCGGCGCGCGGGGACACGTTCTCGGCGCTGACCAGTGTGGCGCGCGCCCTGGCGCCCGAGCGCCGGCTGCTGGGACTGCTGCGGCGCTACCTGCTCGGGGAGGAGGCGCGGCTGCGGGACCTGACCAGGTGAGGGCACCGGGGGGCGGGGTGCAAGCCGGAGAGACTGAGTCTCGGAGGACGGACGAGGCCGAGACTTTGTGCCGCAGGGTCGGGGGTAACTCAGCGTCGTGGTCAGCCTGCTGGGACTTCGGACGCGGTGTCCAACCCGCAGACCAAGGTACCGTGGCCCAGTGTGACTCCCCAGAGCCATCGTCATCCTGAGGGGCTCCCCGAGACACCGTGTCGCCCTGCGTAGGACTTCAGACTCCGCTGTGGGAACGTGCGGTGGAGCGACTGTGGGGCGGAGTAGAGCTCCATAAGGTACTGCGTCAAGCTGTGTGGGCCCCCAGGTTCGCTGTTAACAGAGACACAGCGACCCTGAGAGAGTGAAACGGAGACAGTACGGTGACACTGTAGCCACACGTGTGTTGACCATGTGATCCAGGGAACTGATGTTTAGTATGGGGGGACATCCTCTGACTGTGTATGAGATTTACATATTGTGACTGGGTGGGTACAACCCTATGGATATCTTGCAGAGTAATTGTCCAGGTCTCTATAGGAATAATGCTTCAGGTTTATCAGTTCATTCAACATAGATGTTTGAGTGTCTACTGTGAACCAAGCACTGTTCCAGGCACTGGGGAGAGAATGGTGAACAAGACCCTACCCTGCCCTCTAAGAGCTTGGAGTCTGTAATATCATGATTGTTAATCTGAGATGTCTTCTCTTTACACACACATAAGAACTCTAAATACTATCACTGAGATGTACATGTGTATGAAAGTATTTGACAGCAGGAAAACCAAACCACTGGGCAAAACCATACTTGATGCTTGGAGATGCTGAGTGTAGCACACACTACTAGACGCTCAGCCAATATTGTTTTGCTATACAATCAATGAGAAAAACATCTACTTCTGCTTTATTGACTATGCCAAAGCCTTTGACTGTGTGGATCACAGAAAACTGTGGAAGTCTTAAAAAGATGGGAATACCAGACCACCTAACCTGCCTCCTGAGAAATCTGTATGCAGGTCAAGAAACAACAGTTAGAACTGGACATGAAACAACAGACTGGTTCCAAATCGGGAAAGGAGTACGTCAAGGCTGTATATTGTCACTCTGCTTGTTTAACTTATATGCAGAGTACATTATGAGAAATACTGGACTGGATGAAGCAAAAGCTAAAATCAAGATTTCTGGGAGAAATATCAATATGCAGGTGACACCATACTTGTAGCAGAAAGCGAAGAAAAACTAACAAGCCTCTTGATGAAAGTGAAAGAGGAGAGTGAAAAAGTTGGCTTAAAACTCAACATTCAGAAAACTAAGATCATGGCATCCAGTTCCATCACCTCATGGCAAATAGATGGGGAAACAATGGAAACAATGACAGACTTTATTTGGGGGGGCTCCAAAATAACTGCAGATGGTGATTGCAGCCATGAAATTATAAGATGCTTGCTCCTTGGAAGAAAAGTTATGACCAACCTAGACAGCATATTAAAAACAGAAACATTACTTTCCCAACAAAGGTCCATCTAGTGAAAGCTGTGGTTTTTTCCAGTAGTCATGTATAAATGTGAGAGTTGGACTATAAAGAAAGTTGAGTGCCGAAGAATTGATACTTTTGAACTGTGGTGTTGGGGAAGACTCTTGAGAGTCCCTTGGACTGCAAGGAGATGGAACCAGTCCATCCTAAAGGAAATCAGTCCTGAATATTCATTGGAAGGACTGATGCTGAAGCTGAAACTTCAGTCACTTGGCCACGTGATGCAAAGAACTAACTCATTTGAAAAGACCCTGATGCTGGGAAAGATTGAAGGCAGGAGGAGAAGGTGATGACAGAGGATGAGATGGTTGGATGGCATCACCGACTCAATGGACATGAGTTTGAGTAGGCTCCGGGAGTTGGTGATGGACAGGGAGGCCTGGCGTGCCGCAGTCCATGGGGTCACAAAGAGTCGGACATGACTGAGAAACTGAACTGAAACTGAAAATACAATCAACAAACTCTACTTTAAGACTTGGAACACTGAGGCACTGTAATCATGTATTGACTCTCTCGGCTGTGCGCCTTCTCTTGGGACACTGAGAAACTCACAAAGTGAGAAACGGGTGTAACCACATAGTTACTTCAATATTTAATGCTGTATTTATATCCTGTGACCCTCAACTGAGCTGGGACAACAGAGGGGGTTATCTGTTGTCTCACAGTGTACTGCTTATAAAACTGTGAGTGAGTGTACATGGTAGTAATACTGTTTTCAGGGCATATGGGAAGAAGGTGTGAGGGCCACTATGGCTATGTGGGAGAGCCCATGTAGAAGAGAGTCAGTGAGCGTGAAGAAGTATGTGTGAGAGATCTTGTTTGTTACTCAGTGGTAACTGAATGATGATGTAATTTGGTACATGCTTTTAAGTATGTAGCTTGTATATAAGCAGTTGTATGCCTGTTTAAATTTACTGTTAGTTTGATCTCGCAAGCTAAGATCCCACAAGGTGCATGGTGTGGACAAAAATAGCATGATCACACACACACACTATATAATGCATATAAGTGTGTATTAATTATTATAATCTGCTGTACTCAGTTGCTTAGTTGTGTCCGACTCTTTGTGGTCCATGGACTGTAGCCTGCCAGGCTCCTCTGCCTGTGGAATTTTCCAGGCAAGAATACTGGATTGGGGTGCCATTTCCTACTCCAGGGGATCTTCCCAATTCGGGGATCTTCCCAATTCAGGGATCAAACTCAAGTCTCCTTTGTCTCCCAAATTAGCAGGCGGATTCTTTACCACTAGCGCCACCTCCAAAGCCCAATTATAACAATAAATGATGATAATTTTAATAATTCTTGTCACTCTTTGGAGTAGCATAGTTGCCTAGTATTCTGTGGGCCCATATTTACAGAGTAAAATGATTTAATTTGCGGAATCCTTGATGGTCCAGTGGTTAGGACTCTGTACTTCTGCTGCTTGGGGCCGGGATTCAATTCCTGATAGGGAGAACCAAGCCCCTGCAAGCCACATGGTGTGACCAAAAAAAAAAAATTTTCATTTTATTCTTAATCCATATTCATTGGAGTCCAAGTTCATTGGTGGAAAGAGAACAGACTTTTTCCTTTGATTTGAGGCACCATCATGCTCCCTGCTACCCGTGTGCTTGTTCTCATAACTACTAATCTCTCTTATTTGGGTGGCTCAGATTGAGATGAGGGTCAGAATCCTGATGCTAGGCTTAGTAGGGAACAGAGTCAGAAGAGCGAGCTCATGATGTTTATCAGAGTGGCTGGCTAGAAATCCCCCCTCCCACCTGCACGCCAGTCTCCTTTACTGTCTTCTCACCATTGTAATTGTCACAAACTTGTCACAGTGGGAGGTCTTGCACAAACCTTATCTCATTTGATTCTCTCTCACACACAGTGTTTTGAAATAGGTTTGTATTACTCTTTTAAGCAAATGAGAAATCATTTTAAAGTATGAAAACTACAATTTAAGTACCTTAATCCAAGATTATAAAATCTATTAAGTAGCAAGGACTTCCCTGGTGGCTCAGTGGTAAAGAATCCATCTGCAATGCTGGAGACACCAGTTCGACTCCTGGGTTGGGAAGATTCCCTGGGGCAGGAAGTGGCAACCCACTCCAGTATTCTTGCCTGAGAAATCCCATGGTCAGAGAAACCTGGCAGGCTCCAGCCTGTATGGTCACAAAGAGTCAGACATGATTTAGTGACTAATCAACAGCAAAAAGTAAGTAGCAAAGCTAGGACTAGGACATAGTTCCTTTGACTGTTTCTTTCTATCACGCTATAATGTCCCTACTGCTTGCTTTGTATGATATGCCAGGACGCTGACCAAGCCCCATAGCTGTTGAGGTTTAATGGACAGCTGGAGTACATAGTGGTTAAGAGTCTGGATTCAGGAATGTAACGTTTGTTAGAATGCTTGGCTCTGACCTTGGGCGAGCTCCTTTACCTCTTTAAGTATTAGTCTCCTAATCTGTAAAATGATGATAAAAATAGTACCTACCAATATGGGTTGTTGGAAGCATTAACTACCACGTAAAGGAAAGTAGTAATTGCTCTGCAAATGTCAGTTCTTTGTGATTGTTGTTTAAGACTTGCTGGTGAAGCTAGACACAACTTTTGGCTCTACACAGTAGCTAGGATTATGAGAGCCCAGATAATAAAAAAGAATCAGAAAAATTCTAGAGTCTCTTCCCATATGACTTATGAGCATTTAATTTCAGAAAGCTTAGTTTCATAACTTAGAGACTGTTTGTTCTCTAGTCACTGCTCTAAAACCTGGTGAAATGTTTGCTTTTAAAACAAGAATTCTGGCAGTTCCTGCTCATTTTCCTATACTCACAATCTGGTGATCTAATGTAACTTGAGATGTTATTTCTAAGGGGCCTAAGTTGATATTCTTTGAATTTCTAAAGTTAGAAATTAAATATTTTTTGATGTTGAAACTATACTCCCTACCCCAAATTGATGAATAAAATTTATACTAGTTACAATATATATAGCTATGTACTAATATATTATTATGTATACTTGTCATATAATATTTAGATAGTTAACCCCTAGCTTCTTTTGTTGTTGCAGTTTTTAAAAAGTACCAAGATTTAGAAAGTAGTATCATCAGCAATGACTTCTGTGCTAGGAATTAAGCATTCAGAATGTCTCAGAAGAACTGAGACAAAGCCATTTCTGAATTCCAAAGGAAAAACATATTGAATTAAAACAGCCCATATATTGTGGTTGGGTAACCTGTCCCAAGCTATGTTTAATGCAGAGATTGGGTTGCAGCTTTTATGTGAAGATTCTTGAAGGAAAGGATCTGATTTTCCACTCTCCGTAGCATTTGTTAAAGCAAAAAAGCTGTTTAGGAAACCCTGAGGTTTGAATTCAGCATCCAGTAACTCGGTCTCTGAAAACCAGCTATTGGCTCAGAGGCTGGGCATAGGGCCAATGTTTGGATTCCAAACCAGCCTCAGATATCAGTTGATAGGTTTTTTCTTTTTTCTTTGTGTGACAGAAAGATGACATACATGAACACTGAATTGAATTATGTTCTTCAGTAGATATTAAACCTCTGTCCTAAATAAATTGATGCCATAATACAAAGTGGGATGTGAGGAGAACAAGGAGATGGTGCCTTTGATCTTCACCCCTCCGTCATGCTTCCTTTGTGCCTCAGTTTTCTCTGAGGCTTGTTATATTGGGTTGGCCAAAAAGTTCGTTTAGGTTTTTCAGTCAAGATGTTATTTTTTGGCCAACTCAATACAGTAGGTCTCAAGCACCAGATGAGGAGTTTGTTTATTCGGTTGTGGAAAAGGTGATGGAAAGAAAGAATAGAATGGTTGTGCTGAAAGCATCCATGGAGATCTTCTAGACTAGACCAGGTCTACTGTCTTATAGGAGAGGAAACTGAAGGATAGCTAGAGGCTGGCTCAGGATACCTCTCACGTCTCCTCCTAGCTCCTCTCCATGCAACTGTCTTGTAAAATTCCTGTCGCTCAGCCTCAGTTGTCCTTGGACACTTACCCTTCAGTCTGAATTCAAGCCCGAGTCTCTGCTTGTATTTTTGTCTAGCAGTGGAATATCTTTCACTAAGTAGTTCCATATGGAGCTGAAGCAGAAAATAATGGGTATTAAAAAAAAAAAGTCCCACACCCTGGAGGCTGGTTTAGTTTTAAAACCCTTGAGTAGGTTTAATTTAAAAAACCCCCTGTCTTAGGGATCAGAGATATCCTGGGACTTAACAGGCTTCCTGTTTCCTCCCTGGGGCACCCAGGAGCAGACTGTTTTTCTTAGTTTATGCTTGAATTGAATATTTGGCTCACTAGAAGCATCTCTACCCAAAGCAACTATTCTGTTTCAGGCTGTGTTTATAGTTGAGGCCCCACCCTTGAGAAATCCTTAAGTCAGACTGTTTCAAGGGATTGAAATCCTGCACCTTACCCCCACCCCACCACTCCCTCTATTCCTCACTTCCATCCCTTTACACTCACTGAAGTCCTCCACTGTGGCCAGAAAAGTCTTCTGTTCTCACATGCTCTTCATACATTCACTTTGCACCACACACACTTTTTCTTTTATTTCAATTGTTATTGTATTGTTTTTGAAAATAATTTTTAAAACAAAGGGAAAAAGTGTTAGAGGGCAGGACTAGAACTCTTAAGTCTGCCTTACTGTAACTAATAAATTTCAATAATATAAATCCCAGAAGGGAATTAGCAATGGGATAACCATAGTATGCCAGGAAAGTAAACAGTTATACCTTAATTGTATGAACACTCTTATAGGACATTGAGGAGGAGAGAAATTAATGAAAAAGATGATCACTTCTGGCCCCTACATTTCTGCCCCTTTACTGCAAATGTTGGCAAACCAGAAAGATTGGAAGCGTGCTGAATAACCCACCTTTTCATTCCCCATTTCAAGCTTCATCAGTTTCTGTATGATTTGCTTCCTAAATATCTCTCTTGAAATCATTCCATTCTCTGCCCCCACTGTCACTGTTTTGGTTCAGACTGTCCTGTCTTTTGCTTACAGCTTTGAAATGGCCTCCTAACTGATCTTTCTGCTCTGGTTACTTCCACTTCTAACCCCTCCTCTTCACCCTCTCACAGATTTATATATGTAACATATCATAGTCCATCCCACTGTCACTTAAAATTTTGCTACTCCTAATTGCACTCAGGGCAGAACCCAGATTTCTCAGCAAGGTCTATGAGTTACTCCTTGCTTCTCCAGTCTAGTCTCCCCATCCTCCTAATACATTGCATGCTCCAGCAATACTCAACGGTTTGTAATTTCCCTGCTGCTTCTCTCTGTAGTTTTACACATGTTGAACTGTCTCTGCCTTCCTGGAGGGAGACCTTCTTCTCATTATTTGCTTTTACCCATCAGGTCTCAGTTTATTATCTCCTCTGTGATACCTACTGTGATCTGCTCTGGCAGATGTGTGTACTTTCCTCTAAGCTTTGTTCTTCAATCTGGGGTTGCATCTGTAATGTAATTATTTGTGATCTCAAACGTTTTGAGATCAAGGTTATTGACTTATTCAAAATTTTGTACCTAGCTCACAGAAGAATATATTTCATTCATTCTTTCTTTTTTTTTTATGTAATAAAGTTTTATTAAAGTATAAAGGAGATAGAGAAAGCTTCTGACATAAGCATCAGAAGGGGGCAAAAGAGTACCGCCTTGCTAGTATTAGCAATGGAGTTATATACTCTCCAATTAATCTAAAGAATGTCTGGAGGCTGCAAAGACCTCACCAGACCCACTCCGGTAATTTACATTTTAAGATAACAGAGTTGGCCAGAAGGTTTAATCCAAAGATTGTCCTCAGGCAGGATACATCCTTGTAAAGACCAGACCTACTCCCATAATTTACATTTTAAGATAACAGAATTAGCCAGAGGGTTTAATCCAAAGACTGTCCTCAGGCAGGATACATTATTGTTATATAATCCTAAGGAATGTAGAGGAAAAAAAAGGTAAAAAAGTTTGTCCTTTCTTCCTCCTTGAATATCCCAGATCTCTCTCTCCTTGGGGACCCCTAGACTTCTTATCAACCTGCCTAGGAAATGACTCTCATTCTCCCCTTTTCTTTTAGGAGAATTATGTTGCCTAGGGAAAAGGGGCGTCGTTCTCATTCCATAACTGCTTCCGAGCTGACAAGGGGCATTGTCCCTAAATTGGTGAGGCAACATATTCTCCTAATCCTCATAGTAAGGATGTCTGATCCAGGGGCTCCAAGTAATAGTTGGAGGAGGCTGTGGCACTCATAGGAGCTCAGGCAACTATTTGTAAATTAAAAGCTTTTAGACGGTTAGAAAACCCCATTATACAGTGATAGATGAAAGGCAAAATAGTCACTAAACCAAGTTAAAATCAAAATGAAAAGTCACATTATGGCCATAGTTACATCAGTCCATCTTAAGGTTGTTAGATGTCATCAGTTTAAGAAGAGTCATCACATGCGATTGTTGAAAGTATTTGCAGACTTGGAGAAAGTCTTTTCCTTGAAGGGGATATGTCCACCATGGGACGCCTTTCACGGATGAAGAAGGGAGTGGTCCACAGACCCAGCAGTTAGACCGATTGTGGAATGCAGCATAGGAGTGAGCCCAGGACAGGAAGGCATTGTCTTGATCAAATGGCAGACTCAGGATTTCTGGAGTCAGCAGAAGTAGGCTCACATAGATTGTCAGGCCCATCTTGTCCTGAAGGATCCCGGACAAGCCCCCAAGATGAAAGGTTGTTGCTGAATGATGAGACGTGGGATTCTTGGCCTCCGGAGGAGATGAATTCAATCTGGGGCCAGAGACGAGGCTGGATCGCTCAGAGCTTTTGTGTAATAAAGTTTTATTAAAGTATAAAGGAGATAGAGAAAGCTTCTGACATAGGCATCAGAAGGGGGCAAAAGAGTACCCCTCATTCATTCTTTCATAGAAATGTATGTTGAACTTAGGGAAAAGGTGATAAGAGGAAATTCTCCCGTGGTCCAATGGTTAACACTCAGTAGTACTTTCACTGATGTGGCCCAGGTTCAGTTTCTGGCTGGGGAACTAAGATCCCACACACTGCATGATGTGGCCAAAAAAAAAAAAGTGATGAGAAGAAATCAGCTATTTTCTTGTTCATGAAATTCTTGATCATTGGACCCTGTCTTGCCTTTTTATCCCCGGCTTCCAGCATAGAGTTTGACTTCTAGCAAGTGACTTACTGAATGATTAAATATATGTCAAGCCTCTGCACCTTTGGGTACATTGGTCCCTGTTGGCTCAAAAAACCCACTCTCCTCCCTTCTTTGTTCTGATTCCATGGGAAACAATATGGCAAAATCAGTCAAGAACCCCAGCTTCAGAGTCAGACAGGCTTCAGTTCATTCCTGGCTTTGCTGTTTACCAACAGCATAGCCGTGTTTCAGTTTCCTCTTCTGTAAAATGTGCGTGATAATATCTATTCTGAGCATTTGGAGAAGGGGGAATTAAATGAGACAATATGTTTAAAACACTTAACAGGATGCCTAGTCCATGGTAAGGGCTCATTAAGTAGTAGCTATCAGTATTTTAACCAGTCCTTCCAAACTCAGATTAGGTGCCGTATCCTCTGTACAGTCCTCCCTTACACCTTCTAACTCCCACCTGGGTCAGGTGCCCTGCTTACAGATTGCCAGACCATTTCATAGCATTATATGCTCTCTTCTCTCATAGCACATACCACAGTTATTGTAATTAATTCAACAATGTTTTTTAAGCTTCTATCAGATTCTAAGTTTTGATTATAGAATAATGAGAGAAAAAAAGATTTTCTTATTTGTAACCTCCTGAGACCTCCACCCTCTCTTGCCTTTGGGTCTTGAGCATCTCGCATGATGCCTGACATACAGTGATTAAGCAGCGGAGACTGACTTGAATGAACAAATGAGCGGACCTACTTTTGTTGTGTTGGTCATTTTCATCCTCTTTGTTCATGTTGCTCAGAATATAACATGAGTCTCAAGGGGTTCAGCATTTCATTTTTAGCTACTCTAAATGTGCCTTCACCTGGTAGAGCGGTTGTATCAGTGGGTGAGGTCATTCTACTCCTCTCTTTCAGATTCTATCACAAGGTGCTATCTTTACATGAAGATGCAGCAACCCCTGTGTCTAACCCTCTGCTTGCATTTACTCTCATCAAACGCCTACAGTCTGACTGGAAGAATGTGGTACATAGTCTGGAGGCCAGTGAGAACATCCGAGGTAATGAGGAGGAGGGCTGGAGGGTAAGAGAAGATTCTATCTCCTGACTCAGTAGAAAGGAGAGAGATTCTGATGGGATGTGATGAAGGATAATGAAGTGATCTCCTTAGCTCTGTTACAGAGAACTAGGTTCTTTTGTTAATATGTTTATGCAATTATAATTAGAAAGCAATTTTGTATCCATTATCTCATTTTTTAAAATACTTTTTTGGCTATACCACATGGCATATAGGATCTTAGTTCCCTAACTAGGGAGTGAACCCGTGTCCTCTGCAGTGGAAGCATGGAGTCCTAACTGCTAGACTGCCAGCAAGGTGCCTCCATTATCTCATTTGATCTTCACACCAATCCTGTGAAGAACTATAGGTTATATCATCCCATTTACATATGTGTACAAGTGATGTTGTCTATTAATTTCTGTTTTATTAAGTTGCCACTACAGTTCTGTAGTAAGATCACTTTCCTAATTTACTCTACTTTGTACTTGAAAGGCTTCCCTTGGGGCTCAACTAGTAAAGAATCTGCCTGCAGCACTGGAGACCTGGGTTCAATCCCTGGGTTGGGAAGATCCACTGGAGAAGGGAAAGGCTAACCCACTCCAGTATTCTGGCCTGGAGAATTCTATGGACTGTATAGTCCATGGGGTCGCAAAGAGTCGGACACGACTGAGCGACTTTCATTTTCATAATTGAAGAATTTTGTTGACTTTGGGGAAGTTAAGAAGAAGGAAAGTTTTCCCCTCAAAAGGCAAGACTCCCGGAGACAGACAGAATGGAACAACATGATAAAGATGCTTAGTTTTTACTCTGAAATGTTTATTCCTCATTCAGAAGATTGATTACCCTGGGAACAAAATCAGATAAAACATTATCTTTGCTCATGAAAATATTATGAGCTTAGTGATTATAGTAATTAAGGTGATGATGCCTCACTGTATCAAATGCTCACCGCCTGTTTTTTGAGTGATGGATCGATGCTTTCATGACTTCCACAGCTCTCAAGGATGGTTATGAGAGGGTGGAGCAGGACCTGCCAGCCTTTGAGGACCTCGAGGGAGCAGCAAGGGCCCTGATGCGGCTGCAGGACGTGTATATGCTCAATGTGAAGGGACTTGCCCGAGGCGTCTTCCAGAGAGTCACAGGATCTGCTGTCACGGATTTGTACAGTCCCAGGCGACTTTTCTCCCTCACCGGGGATGACTGCTTCCAGGTTGGCAAGGTAATGGTATTCAGAGGGAGGGCAGATTGCTCAGCTCTGTTTCTAGGGGATAAAATCACTATACTCTGATTGCTGTTATTAATACATATTTCTAATCCTGCCAGCAAAATTGGAAATCGGGCATTATTCTCCATTTTCAGATGAGATGAAGAAACTGAGGTTCAGAGAGGGTAAATGACTTGCCCAAGGTTACAGAAGTTTAAGTAGAGCTAAATTTTGAACCTGTGTCTTTTAACTCTGAATCCCATGCTGTCTCCATAATAGCTAGGGTAATCACATACTTAAGACACTCTTGAGAGTGAAGGAAGTGTTATTAGCCAGGCTGAGAGACATAAAGTGGGACTCTCTCGGGAAAAATGGCCCTTTGGTCACCATAACCATGGCATTCCAGTAGATGGACAGCCAAGTGGGAAGGAGAAGCAAGGTCAAAGGATGGGGGAAAGGAAAGGAAAAGGTGATGTGAAGGTAAGATCACAGAAACTCAGCCTCCTGGGACTTCATGAAATCCCTTGCAACATTTCATAGCCACTTAGAGATACTAAACTAAAGTAGTGTCAAAAAACCAAACCATTTGGGAATTCCCTGGTAATCCAGTGGTTAGGACTCCATGCTTCCACTGCAAAGGGCATGAGTTCAATCCCTGGTCAGGGAAGTAAGATCCCACAAGCCAAGTGATGCAGCCAGAACTAACCCCACATTGCTATAAAATTGTTTGAGAAAATAAGACTTTAGGAACCTTCCAGATGAGATGTTTAACTGATCTTTGTTGAGAAGTTCTGAGTACACTTGAGGTTATTTTACAATATATTCTTTGTTAGCCTTTGCCCAGAAGTAATGGAGTAAATCCTTTCTAATTTTGAAGATGCATACTGCAGGAAAGTGAATTTTTCCCAGCCCCTGCAGTATTCGTTAGTCAATCTGAGAGTGGGCCTCATGTGTCCTAAATCCAAGTTTTGAGGATACATCCTCCAAATTAACAGAGTGGGTTTCCCTAAGCCTAAGCCCCATGTATAACTTTTCCTTTTCTGAGATCCTAATATAATCAAGCTCAATCATCATGTTCATGGCTAATTTAAAATGAAGTCAGTTAAAACAGTTCCATATATGGTACCAATATTTGCTTCCTTAGTGAGGCTTTTCTGAGACTAAAACCATATGTTGAAAATTCAGTTAAGTCATTTCCTGAAAATCTCACTGACAGTCATCATTCCTGTATTTATTTACTTATTTTGAAAGATAAAACACTTCAAATATAAGAAAAGTACACATAAAATAAGCAATTTTATCTATAATTGAGATGAAATATATGTTCAAATTTTGCTGTATTTGTTTCAGATTTTTTTTTCCAGATTTTTAAAAAAGAATGTGCCAAACACCCACTCCTTTTCCTTATCACCACCCCCACCCTTGCTATTCTCCCCTTGCCCACGTACCAAGCGACCACTGTCCTAAACCAAATAGTAAGTGCTCTTGAGTCACTTTAGTACCTTGTATCTGTGACATTTTATCCATGTTGCTGCATTTATCAGTTCAGTTCAGTCACTGAGTCGTGTCCGACTCTTTGCAACGCCATGGACTGTAGCATGCCATGGACTGCAGCATTTATCAGTAGTTCATTCCTTTCTATTGCTGAATAGTATTCTGTTGTTTGAATATACCACAAACTGTTTATCAATCTCATGTTAATGGATTCTTAGATTTGTTTCCAGCATAGCTGGAATAACACTGCTGCTTTATTGATGTGTCTTTTTGTGGACATTTGTGTTCATTTCTCTTGGTTAAATACCTGGGTTGAAGAATAAACGTAGATAATTATTAGCATGTAGGTAAGTCTGTTTTATCTACATGCCCTCAATTCCGCCCTCTATTGATTATTTTACTTTTCTTCTGAAATGCTTTATTGTCTAGTTCTTATGTTCCACTGATGTGTCAGTTGACTGTTGCTCATGGTCTGTTATTTCCTGACATAGTTTATCATGTTTGATTGTGAGCCTATTTTTAGCAGGATTCCTCCCCCACCGCCAAAAAGAGTCTTTTTGCCCAGAATTGTGGGAATACCCCTTCATAGAGTTTTGGGTTTTCTTCTTTCAGGTACTCTGTGGTATTACTAGCCTTAGAGTCCTTTCTTTTTCCCCCTCTACATTACATCTGCACGACTTATTTATTTTATAACTGGAAATTAATACCCTTTGACCCCCATCATCCATTTCACCAACCCCCTACCCTGGCCTCTGGCAAGCAATCTGGTTCCTATATTTATGTGCTGGGGGTTTTTGTTTCTGCTGTTTTTTTTTTTTAAGATTCCATATCTAAGTGAAATCATATGGTATTTGTCTTTCTCTGTCTTATTTCGTTTAGCACAGTGGTTCAAGGTACATGCATGTTGTCACAAATGGCAAGATTTCATTCTTTTTAATGGTTGAATTATATGTGTGTGTGTGTGTCATTTTATTCATTCATTCATCTATTGATGGACACTTGGGTTGTTTCCATCATCTATTTCTCTGAATTGAAACCAGACAGAAACAAACCAACTTTCTTGTCTCCTTGTGGCAGTGGATAGATTTTTTTTCTGGTCAATTCTTTCCCTTCAAGTATAGTTTTTCATGGGTTTCAGTTTTATGAGTGTGTCTTAAATCCAGTTTTTAAGTTTTTCGAGGTCTACAAAAGGCTCATGTACTGTCCTCCTGTGGGCGTTATAACCTCAGATTACTAAGTACGGAGGTTACTAGGACTAACATCCACCCCATCCCAGGCAGCTTCAGCATCTGCTCATCAGCTTGTTACTTGGATTTTCAGCTTCTCTTTTATTTTTGGTACTTGGATATTTCCCAATCTTTCTAGAAAATATGTGATTAAATACTTATTATATTTTATTCAAAATTTCTAAGTCTTTGTGGTTAAGGATGTATTCCAGTTACCTGTCTGCCATGTTGCTAAGACTTAAAGTTCCTCATAGAAATCTTAATTAAATAAATTGTTAACTTAGCAGGAAAAGTTCAGTCATTTTTTTGTTATTCTTCAAATTAATCTTTTTAAAATAGGAAACTTAAGGACCAGAAAGATAACACAGCAGGCTAATGGCAGATGGGGGATAGGAATGGACTTGCTGTTTGGGCAGCAGAATTGCAGTATCTCCAGGTTCTGCTGTTTTTCTGCCTCCGGGGAATTATGCCTAAATTAGATCATTTTGCAAGAGGCCTTCCAAATCTGTGACTCTATAATTCCATGCTGTTTCCAACATCAATTTTCAGGAAATTCCACCTGCAGGTCTGGTCTTCTAGTTAACTCTAAGCTCTTAGGAGACAGGAGCTATGTCTAGTGCATGGGGCCATAGTCCCCTCTTTCTGACATTTAACGAGCTATGAGAGCTATTCACCGAGCTCTCATAGCATTCCAGTGTCCACCTTCATTAAGGTGGCTAATGCATTATATCATAGTTACTGGTTTACTCACGAGCCCCTTGGTTGATTGCAAGCTCTTTAAGGGCAGGAACCTCCAGGTACATTATAAATACAGTAAATATTGAATAAATAAATGCATTTAATTCATTAGTCACATTGCTCTCAACAATATCTTCCTAAAAACATGACAGTCACATCTCTATTTTGTGAAGCCCATATAGCCTTTTTATGTTTATTCCCTGTTTCACTTTGCCTTAAGTCACAATATACTACTTGAACACATTCTTGATTTTGGCTTCTGTTTCTACCATTCTTTCATCATAAAATGCCCTTCATCCCAATCTCTGCTCATTGAAATTCTTTTCCTTGTCTAAGGAAGACTCAGATGGCATTTTTTTTCTTAATTTCTATATTTTTTATTGGAGTATAACTTCCCTGGTGGCTCAGATGGTAAAGTGTCTGCCTACAATGTGGGAGACCCAGGTTCGACCCCTGGGTTGGGAAGATCCTCTGGAGAAGGACATGACAACTCACTCCAGTACTCCTGCCTGGAAGATCCCATGGACAGAGGATCGTGGTAGGCTACAGTCCGTGGAGTCACAAAGAGTCGGACACGACTGAATGACTTCACTTTATTGGAGTATAGTTGATTTACAGTGTTGTGCTATTTTCTTCTGTTCAGCAAATGAATCAGTTATACATACATATACCCTTTCTTCAGGTGGCACTTCTTCCATGAAGCTTGTAGAGATTCTCAAGTCTCCTCCTTTCTTTATGCCTCCACAGCATATCATACATATTTCTTTCAAGTAATTTTGCCATTCTGCTCAGTATTCTAATTACTTCAGTTCATATTTCTCACTTCTGATTTTTGGCTGTGCTGGGTCTTTGTTGCTGCACGTGGGCTCTCTCTAGTTGTGACGAGTGGGGGCTACTCTCTCGTTGTGGCGTGCAGACCCCTCATTGCAGTGGCCTCCCAGATAGTGCAGTGGTAAAGAATGTGCCTGCCAATACAGGAGATGCCAGAGACTCAGGTTCGATCCCTGGGTCAGGAAGATCCCCTGGAGTAGGAAATGGCAACCCTGGTATTCTTGCCTGGAAAATTCCATGGGCAGAGGAGACTGGTGGGCTACAGCCCATGGGGTCGCAAAGAATCTGTCACGACTGAGCACACACATACCCTTGTTGCAAAGAATGGGCTCTAGAGCACATGGGCTTCAGTAGTTGCAGCTTATGGGCTCCAGAGCATGGGCTTGGCAGTTGTGGCACATAGGCTCAGCTGCTCCTCGACATGTGGAGTCCTCCCAGACCAGGGACTGGGCCATGTCCCCTGCATTGGCAGGCTGGTTCTTAACCACTGGACTACCAAGGAAGTACAATATAAATTTTTTAAATGCGAGAACACTTCAGTATTCTCCACACCTAGTTACATTGTCTTGTATATCATAGATGCTTAGTATATTTAACTTAAATGAGTTGGAAAGAAAACTTGCCTTCTTGGGTTTCAAAGTCCCCTCACATTTTTGCATTGTTATTTCCTTTCTCTACCTGTGGACTAAACTTTAGTGATGGTACTTATGTTCCCTGCAGGTGGCCTATGACATGGGGGATTACTACCATGCCATTCCATGGCTGGAGGAGGCTGTCAGTCTCTTCCGAGGCTCTTATGGAGAATGGAAGACAGAGGATGAGGCAAGTCTTGAGGATGCCTTGGATCACTTGGCCTTCGCCTATTTCCAGGTAGGGGAGTAAGCAAGAGATGCACTCCTTTCATCAAAGTAAGCATAATGCTTTATATCTGCTTTACCACTTTTTCAGCATTTTCATGTCTCTTAATTTATTTCATCTTCCCAACAGCACTAAATGTGTCAGGCAGGTAGTTGTTTTATTTTTTCCATATTTCTCATGTGAGTAAACTGAATCTCCAAAGAATTCCTAACTTGTTACAAAGTTCACAGAGGTCAGATTAGAGCCTGAGTCTATTTCTTCCTCAGTACTCTTTCCAGTGCGCTCACTACTTTAAAATCATCATCTCCAATGTAGGAGGCAGTTTCTCACTTGAATCTGCATTTACAAATGTTTAGTGACTTCATAGTTAATGCAGGTCACTTTTTTGCACTCTCAACAATTCATAACTCTTGCCATGATATTGCCAATGTCAAGGAAGAAGTTTGATTGTTTCTTCTCCCATCTGCTGTCAAGTCCAACTGTGACCTGAATCGTGTCCAGATACACAGCTGGTGTCATTGGTCCAGAGCATCAGCTCATGGCCTCCTGTAGGTGTTGTTTTTCATTGGTACCATTGACCTGTGATCCATTGTGTCTCTCATGAAAGCTCACTTTTCTTCTTGTGGGAGCTGCCATCCTAACCCCACGTCCACCAGAGTTGTATAGTCTTTAAGAATAGGCTGGAAAAATCACTACAGAGTCAGTTCCCTAGAGTTTCCAAAACTAATAAACCATTTCTGCTCCACACATTCCTTTTTCTTTCCCCCTTTTCCTGAGAAAGGGAGGAGGTTGTGGGTGGTCCAAACCTTTGTATTGCTGCCAAAACAGATTTATTCTCAGTGCTGCAAATGGTCCTTTTCCTCTCATGGAAGTTCCTGGCTCTTTGTTGTAAAACTTTCCAGGGTGCTCTTCATATCTGTCCTGCTTAACTGCTATTAAAGCTGAAATAGAATCACTGTGATACAATAAAGGGTGAGAAGTAATTGAATTTTAATAGAAGAAAATGGAGAATTGATATGGAGACTCAGAGAAGATAAACTAAAGCAGCTCATTCTGAAAGACAGAGTTTTAGATACAATGTCTAATAGTTTGGGGTTTTTTTCCCCTATGAAAACTTAGATCTCTCATCTTCTCACTTGTAAACTCTCCCATCCTACAGTTGTGCTTTGTCTGGTAAGTATTATTCATCTTACCAGGTGTAGCTCAAATGTCTCCTATTTTGTGCAGCCTTCTTTAATTCTCTTTAGACCCCTCAGACTCTCCTTCTTTGTGCTCTTACAGTGTGTGTGTGTGTGTGTGTGTATGTGTTTATGCCACAATAATAAAACACATTGGCATTGTCTTATAGGCAATTTCTGGTCCCCTTTTTACCACTAGTAAATTAGAGATGAATGTTCCTCATAGATCTTTCATTATCATATAAAACTGTGTATATATACCACAAGAAGTATAATATATCATATTATATGTAGTACTATCATTTAACACATTTTCAAGATATGTTTTAGTAAAAAATCATTTCAGTAACTATGAATAATGAGAAACAGTGTGTAGTAACTAAACCATAGGCTCTGAAGTCAGGCAGACCTAGGTTCAAGTTCTGTGAAAACTTGGGTAACTTACTTAACCTCCCTAGACCTTAATTTTCTTTCTTTTTGTTTTAAAGCTTCAGTTTTCCTCTTTGATCAGACTTTTCTTCTTTCTTCTTTTTTTAAAAAAATACTTACTTACTTTTATTCATGTGTTTATTTGGCTGCGTTGGGTTTTAATTACTGGACTTGGGATCTCTGGTGCACAGGCTCAGTAGTTGCAGCCCGTAGGCTTAGTTGCTCTGCAGCATGTGGGATCTTAGTTCCCCGAGCAGGGATTGAACTTGTGTCCCCTGCATCGGAAGGCAGATTCTTAACCATTGGACCATTAGAGAAGTCCCTAATTTTCTTATCTTTAAAGGGGAATACTAATGATAATGTGGGAGTGTGGAAATAATTTTCCCCATAATCTGAGTTTTTGGCTGAGCCCTCTCTGTAATATAAGACAGACTAATAAGAGGAACAATAAACATAAGTTAACTAACGTGTATACCTCCTGTAGACATGGGAGATACTGGGGGGCAGGGGATGAGTAACTCTCTGAGAGGATCTAAACCTTCATCTTAAATATGATGTATCCAGCTAAAGACAAAAGAAAGAAAGGTATGGGGGAGCCAGTTCTGGGAGGTGAGCAGACCAAGCAAGCAAGAGGGAGGCTGTAAGGTACCAATAGATTTAGGGTGCCTTCTCCATTGATAAGATTTTCTTGTGATGCAGAGTCATCCTACTCTTTCAGGTACACGGGGGAGAGAACCCTCACAAAAGGAGATTTCCATTGTAAATATAAATTTCCCTTATGAAAGAGTAGCTTCTACTCTGGTTTAAAAAACTTCTCCTGTATCTCTGATGTTTCTCAAAATAATTAGCTCAAAATAATCCTTATGCCAATGAGGCATATTTGGGGATGGCCTATTCTGCTGCCCTTTGTTGACTTAATGCACAATGTGAGAGTTGTGCATCAGGTTTTATTTGGGGCAAAATGAGGACTGTAACCCAGGAGACAGCACCTCAGATAGCTCTGAGAAACTGCTCCAAAGAGGTTAGGGGGAAGGTCAGTATATATGTGATTTTAGTGAAACGGGAGTGCATGCAATCAAACACATATTTTTTTTGCAGAAGGTTTCTGTTAGTCTTCAGGAGCAGTTGTCACCATGAAAATTTTGGTGCTTTTCTAGATATGAGGAAATACAAGAATTAGGCTTTTAAAATCAGCTTCTAAAAACATCTAACTATATGAAGACCTGTTTTGCCAGTTTTTCCCAGTGCACAGAGTGCCTCATTTCTGCTCTCCACCCTGAACTATTTTCAGGGGGGTGTCGAAAGCCAGTAGCTGCAGCAGCTCATGATTTAATCTTTGTGGATGTAGATGGAAGTGCCCATGGCAAGTGCCAGTTTGTAGTTGGCACCTTCAGCGCTCACCTCAAAGGGTTGGCATGAGGATTAAATGAGCTAATACACGTAAAGCCCTTAACCCAATTCATAACACATATGTTCTCAATAAATGTAAGCTATCTTTACAATATACACAAGTGTGTGTTCTCCTTTTTCACTGAACGTTATTTACTATACACATTTCCAGAGAAATTTAACAGGGGTATCAAAAGTAGCTCTAACTGTTCTTGATAAAACATAATTTTATCTCCTGACAAAGCCCTTGAGTTTTAAAAATAAATAAAATTAATATTTTAGCTTTCTTCATCTCAAGGGGTTTGAAAATCTTTAACCCTGAGTTAATATCTGACATTATAAGATATTAGTAGATTAACTAACTACCCCTCTGTTAAGTACAGAACAGAATAATTCATGATATTAATTAATTAGAAACAATCTATTTCTGAGGACTATGTAAAAATATAGAAAGTACTCCTGATTACACTGTAGAGGGAAACAATCAGGATATGAAAATGTATAATAAATATGACTGTAACTGTGTACACACTATGTATTATTCCAAAGTGCTTGAAGTGCCTGAGTTTCAGTGGAACCTTTACCCCCTATTTCTCATATGTTTTATAGTGTCCTTCTTCTTGCTTTTATCATTAAAAATGCTTTTTTTTAACATGGAAAAGTGAAATGATCAGAAGTAAATACACGTCTAGTGACTTATCATCATTTCACAGCACCCAGAGCCGGATGATAGCCCACCCGCCCCGAGTTCTGTTCCCCAGGCTTGTCTGGAAAGCTTGTGTTTACTTTTGGCCATGTGTAACCCAAGGTTGAATGGCTGCAGGGAGAGTCATTGCTATGCAGTGGGAATGGTTCAGGTTTAGCTCTCCTTTTTCTTCCTCTCACTAACTTTGTGGATTCTCAGAAGTGCTGAACCTGGAGAACACATCATATTCTCAGTAGGATTGCTGCAGTTCCATATTAACATTTACTAATAAAATATACCAAAATAACAACACCCTACAATTACATGGGTTTGCATGCTTTGAAAGACTTGAGGGAATTTTAAGAAAGTTTATTTTTATTTATTTTTCTCCCTTCCCTGGTAAGGGTAGTAATAAGTCATTTGTAATTGAGGAAACTGAGGAGACCTGATTTGCATCAGGGCTGCAAATCTTGAGTTAGGACAGAGAAACTCTACATTTTAGTCTGCAGCTCATTTCAGTGAGTCTTACTATCTACTATTGGTAAGCTTATTTTAGAGTTTTTTTAAATCCATTTAATGGTTCATTAGGGGAGATATCCTCAGTGCAGTTAACTCACTCTTTCCCTTTTCTTTCTTTTTTACAGGCAGGAAATGTTTTGTGTGCCCTCAACCTTTCCCGGGAATTTCTCCTGTACAGTACGTAATGATAAAAGATAACCAGAGGTCAGACCTGTGGGAAATCCCTCTTGCTCTTGGCCTTTCATCCCTGCAAATGAAGTATAGCTGTCTATTTTTATTTTTCAAATTTCATAATCCAAGGCACATTTCTAATTTTTTATTAAATCTTAACATACTGTTCAGTGCACCAGGGGGAGTTTTTAAGTTCATTGGAAGTGCTAAGAAAAAGATACCAGCTTGTGCCTTCCTCCTCCACCCCTATTGAGTCATACATATTAGTGTTGCTTCAGTGGGGAACAAGTCCTAGGTTGGGAGCCAGTTTCTTCAGGGACATTTGAAGATCCAGGTTTTGGGAATAGACCTGGGAACGAGTGCAATCAATGAGAGCTGTGTGTGCAAGAAGGAGAGCGACTCAGCAGGGTTGTTCACTTTGGCTGCTCACAGAAAGATAGCAATTCTTCTCTTTATACTGGAGCTTACTTTGCTATGCAAGCCTTCTGCCCAGCTGGCCACAGCATTCAGCTTCAACCCTCTCAGGCAGTGCTTCACCAGAGTTAAACTAGGAGAGAGATTCGCTAGCTTAACTCTGCTTAGATATTTTTGCTTAAAATTTTGGTGGTAGAGGGCTTCCCAGATTTTCTTTTAATAAGATGGATACTAAAAGATAGGTACATGTTACAGATATGTGTATATACAGATATGTATATGTATCAGATAGGTTAAGATACGTAATAACCATTCACAAAATTAGGTTGGCCAAAAAGGTCGTTAAAACCCTGAACAAACTTTTTGGCCAACCCAGTATTTATGAAGTATTTCTTGTAGGACTTCACAAATGTGTGTATCACTTTTTAATGAATCCATTTAGTAACGTTATTCCTTTCTGATAGTTTGGCAAACAGTAGGACAAGGCAGTAGCTGTGTGGTCTGGAAACATGTGGACAGTTAGTGGTACTAACAAATTGATAACACAGCCCCTCTTTATTTTTTGTGTTTGAACTATTTAAATCTCTGCATATCCCAGAGAATGTAAATTGTGCACTATTAAAGGTGAATAAGCTGTGTCTACAGCAAATTGAAATTCCTCATTCCATAAATGGTCTCGCAGTATTTTCATTGGTATTTTGGGCCCACTGTTTCTATTCCTCCAAACTTTATTTCTCCTTTGGTTAAAAAAAGGGTGATAATTTCTGTCCCCTCGTTTGCCAGAATGATGGTAATGGTGGAAGTGGTTAGAAGCACATTGAGCTCCTCAGAGAAAGATGCTTTGGTGACCCTTACAGCAATGGAACACCTCCTTCTGAGACGCACTGAGTTAATGCAGAGGCTAGCTGGCCATGCGTAGCTGCCAAGTCATGGCGGATCTGCAACCAAAGTGGGCACAAACAAGACACAAGATCCCTGTCGGGACCTTGGCTAGAACCAAAGTCTAGAACCGCTTTGTCCCATAGTGCTCTGTTGTGTCTAGGCCAGGTCGGGATTCTGAGGAATCTAGTAGAGTTGGGAATAATTTAGCTTCCAGTTCTCTAGGGAAGAACAGAGCGAGTCTCTCTGCCGTAGGCTTTGGCTTTCTGGACTTCTCTTTCATAGCACTTTCTTGTTGTGTTTTGTTGTAAGTAGTTGGTTAATGTGTCTTTTCTCTGATAGACTCTAAACTCTGAGAGTTTAGCCTTTAGTGCAGTGTCTGGTACATGTTCACTGGAGAGTTACTGAATGGACGGGTGAATGAATGATTGACGCTTCTTCCCTATACATAAAACTGACCATCACACTGTCCTGCAGCCCCATCCTCATGATCCCTTGGTCTAAGAGTGTTCCTTCAGCTCTACCAGGCCCTACTTAATCCTTTTTAATACCTGGTACTCTAGGGGTGCGGGCCTTACACCCTTCTGTGCATGGACACAGGAAGTTGTCCAGGTGCTGGTGGTGTGTAACAGTGAAGCTGCAGGAAACCTTGGCAGCACTCCCTGGGACCACTGTTTGTTAATCTGTTAATTTGTATTTTTCCCTGCTGATTTCTTCCAGGCCCAGATAATAAGAGGGTAGCCAGAAATGTCTTGAAGTATGAAAAGCTCTTGGCAGAGAGCCCTAACCAGGCTGTAGCTGAGACTGTCATGCAGAGACCCAATGTGCCCCACCTGCAGACCAGGGACACCTACGAGGGGTTATGTCAGACCCTGGGTTCCCAGGTACCATTTCTCATGGGAAGAAAAAGGGGGAACCAGCTTGGGGGATGGAAGAAAAGGTAGAATTGGGACAATTTGAAGGGAAAAACTGATGCATTAACAAAAATAATAAAGTTCACTTGGACAGCATTAGTGACTGAATTCTGAATCTCCTGAATTTCAGGTTTTTTATGCTAGAGTTCCCATAAATTGGTTTCCACTCCTAGACCCTTCTTCTAAGCTGATTCTAGTCCTTCCTTTCAGCCTACTCACTACCAGATCCCCAGCCTCTACTGCTCCTATGAGACTAGTTCCAGTCCCTACCTGCTGCTCCAGCCAGTGCGGAAGGAGGTCATCCACCTGGAACCCTATGTTGTTCTCTACCATGACTTTGTCAGTGATGCCGAGGCTCAGAAGATCAGAGGGCTTGCAGAACCATGGGTGAGTGTCCCCAAGGCCTGCTGAGAACCCCCCTTTGTTTCTTTGTGTGACTGATGTTCAGAAGTGTGAGAACAGGCAGCCTGAACAACTAGATACTTCATCTGTTCAGGAGTTCAAAATACCAGCCATTCCATTAAACTAATCAGCGGTGAAAAAACTCACAGTTGTGTTTGCTTCTGGCTGAGAAAGGGTACAAGGGGATTTTCTGGGGTGTTCACAATGTGCTTTCAATATCTTGTTAGGGATGTGGAGTACATGGTAGTATGTTTGTGAAAACTCAGCAAATGGTACTCTTAAGATCTATGTATATCACTGTATGTAAATTTAATCTAAAAAAAATTAAAGGAAGCCCCCCCCCCTCCCCAATATCAGTCATTTAATATAAGTGATAGAAGGAAGTAAAGGGTGAGAGAATTCTCTGGTGTTTCAGTGGTTAAGACTCAGCGCTTTCAATGCCTCCCTGGGGCCTGAGTTTGATTCCTAGTTGGGGAACTAAGATCCCACAAGCTATTTGGTGTGGCAAAAAAAAGGGGGGGGGTCAAATGACAGGGGAAAGGAGAGATTTCCTAGCACAGAAAAAGAGTGTGAAGATTATTTAGTTAAACTTAATATTTTGTTAAAGAGAAATCCGAGGCCTGGAGAGGGGAAGAGGTCACATATATGGCTTGGCCCAGAATTGGAACCCAGAGGTACGCTGATTGCTGCTCTGCTATTTGGCCTTCATGTATCAGTTAACTTAGGCTGTTACATTTGGTAATGTTGCAGGAAGTGGGGGGACCCCCTTCAGGGCCTGAAAGTGGGCTCTTGTCTAACACTCAGTAATGAATTGTCCAAGGAGATACGCATGCTGACAAAGCAAGAAACTATTGGGAAGAGGTGCTTGAGTGGAGAGCAGGAAGGTAAGGGAGCCCAGGAAGACTGCTCTGCCATGTGGCTCGCAGTCTTGTTTTTTTTTTTTGGTGATGGGATTAATTTCCAGGTTGCCTCTGGCCAATCATTCAGACTCAGGGTCCTTCCTGGTGGTGCACACATTGCTCAGCCAAGATGGATTCCAGCAAGGAGGATTCTGGGAGGTGGTAGGACACGAGGCATCTCCATGTGAGATGAATTTTCCCAAATTCTTCTGGTTGGTGGTGTCTTGTTAGTTCCGTGTTCCTTATCAGAACCTCCTATTGTAAAATAACTCATACAAATGGAGCCTAGAGAATAGGCAGTTACAGTTAGGATTTCCTCTAACAGTAACAAGCAGCCCCCAAATCTCAGGGAGGACAACAGCAGTAGAGGTTGGCTTGGTCCTTATGTTATGTGTCTGTCTTGTGCTGATTGCTGCTCTGCCCCATTCTGTCTTTACCCTTGGACCCAGCCCAACAGAGCAGCCTCTCTTTGGAACACTGCCATCTCATGAGAGAGGAAAAAGGCAAAGATGGCAAACTACTAGTTGGCTTTTAAAGCTTCTGCTTGGAAGCACCAGGCATTACTTCCATCCACATTTCCCTGGTTAAAGCAAAGCATGTAGCCAACACTGCAGTCAGCTTGGTGGGTATATCTCGTTCCTCCATGTAGAAAGCTCTGCAGCCACCGTGCCAAGCTTTATGTTGAGGGGGAGGGGAGAGTGTCCTCCAGAAAGTGTTGTTGTTATTCAGCCCCTCAGTTGTGTCCAACTCTTTGAGATCCATGGACTGCAGCATACCAAGCTTCCCTGTCCTTCACTAATTCCTGGAGTTTGTGCAAATTCATGCCCATTGAGTTGGTGATGCCATCCAGCCATCTCATCTTCTCTCACCTTTCTCCTCCTGCCCTCAATCATTCCCAGTATCAGCGTCTTTACCAGTGGGTTGGCTTTTCGCATCAGCTGGCCAAAGTATTGGAGCTTCAGCTTCATCATCAGTCCTTCCAATGAATATTCAGGACTGATTTCCTTTAGGATTGACTGGTTTGATCTCCGTGCAGTCCAGGGGACTCTCCAGAGTCTTCTGCAACACCACAGTTCAAAAGCATCAATTCGTCGGCGTTTACCCACTCCACTGTTCTGGCCTGGAGAATTCCATGGACTGTATAGTCCATGGGGTCGCAAAGAGCTGGACACGGCTGAGTGACTTTCACTTTCACTTTCCAGCCTTCTTTATGATCCAACTCTCACATCCATACATGACTACTGGAAAAATCATAGCTTTGACTAGACGGACCTTTGTTGGCAAAGTAATGTCTCTGCTTTTTAATATGATGTCTAGGTTTGTCATAGCTTTACTTCCAAGGAGCAAGCATCTTTTAATTTCATGGCTGCAGTCACCATCTGCAGTGATTTTGGAGCCCAAAAATAAAGTCTGTCACTGTTTCCATTGTTTTCCCATCTATTTGCCATGATCTTAGTTTTTTGAATGTTGAGTTTTAAGGCATTTTTTTTCACTCTCCTCTTTCACCTTCATCAAGAGGCTTTTTAGTTCTTCTTTGCTTTCTGCCATTAGGATGGTATCATCTGCATATCTGAGGTTATTATTTTTTCCAGCAATCTTGATTCCAGCTTGTGATTCATGTGGCCCAGCATTTCACATGATATACTCCATATATAAGTTAAATAAGCAAGGTAACAATACACAGCCTTGACATACTCCTTTCCCTACTTGAAACCAGTCTGTTGTTCCATGTCCAGTTCTAACTGTTGCTTCCTGACCTGCATACAGGTTTCTCAGGGTGCAGGTAAGGTGGTCTGGTACTCCTATCTCTTTAAGAATTTTCCAGTTTGTCATGATCCACACAGTCAGAGGCTTTAGCATAGTCAATGAAACAGAAGTAGACGTGTTTCTGGAATTCTCTTGCTTTTTCTATGATCCAGCAAATGTTGGCAGTTTGATCTGTGGTTCCTCTGCCTTTTCTAAATCCAGACTTGTATATCTGAAAGTTCATGGTTCACATACTGTTGAAGCCTAGTTTGAAGGGTTTGCACAATTGTGTGGTAGTTTGAACATTTTTTGGCATTGCCCTTCTTTAGGGTTGGAATGAAAACTGACATTTCCCAGTCCTGTGGGCACTGCTGAGTTTTCCAAATTTGCTGGCACATTAAGTGCAGCACTCAATGAAACTATGAGCCATGCTGTGCAGGGCCACCCAAGATGGGTGGGTCATAGAGGAGAGTTCTGATAAGATGTGGTCCGTTGGAGAAGGGAATGGCAAACTACTTTAGCATTCTTGCCTTGAGAACCCATGAACATATGAAAAGGCAAAAAGATATGACACTGAAAGATGAACCCCCCAGGTCGGTAGGTGTCCAATATGCTACTGGAGAAGAGTGGAGAAATAGTTCCAGAAAGAATGAAGAGCCTGAGCCAAAGCAAAAAACTATACCCAGTTGTGGATGTGTGTGATGGTGAAAGTAAAGTCTGATACTATAAACAATATTGCATAGGAACCTGGAATGTTAAATCCATGAATCAAGGTAAACTGGAAGTGGTCAAACAGGAGATGGCAAGAGTGAACATCAACATTTTAGGAATCAGGGAACTGAAATGGACAGGAATGGGTGAATTTAATTCAGATGACCATTATATCTATGACTGTGGTCAAGAATCCCTTAGAAGAAATAGAATAACCCTCATAGTCAAAAAAAGAGTTCAAAATGCAGTACTTGGGTGTGGTCTCAAAAATGACAGAATGATCTTGGTTCATTTCCAAGGCAAACCATTCAGCATCACAGTAATCCAAGTTTATGCCCCAACCATTAATGCCAAAGAAGCTGAAGTTGAACAGTTCTATGAAGACCAACAAGACTTTCTACAACACCAAAAAAAGATGTCCTTTTCCTCATAGGGTGCTGGAATGCAAAAGTAGGAAGTCAAGAGATACCTGGAGTAACAGGCAAGTTTGGCCATGGGGTACAAAATGAAGCAGGGCAAAGGCTAACAGTTTTGCCAAGAGAACACACTGGTCACAGCAAACACCCTCTTCCAACAATACATGAAATGACTGTACACATAGACATCACCAAATGATCAACACTGAAAATCAAATTGATTATATTCTTTGTAGCCAAAGATGGAGAAGCTCTATACAGTCAGCAAAAGCAAGACCTGGAGCTGACTATGACTCAGATCATGAGTTCCTTATTGTGAAATTCAGACTTGAATTGAAAAAAGCAGGGAAAACCACTAGGCCATTCAGGTATGACCTAAATGAAATCCCTTATGATTACACAGTGAAGTGACAAAAAGATTCAAGGGATCAGATCCAACAGACAGAGTGCCTGAAGCACTATGGACAGAGGTTCGTGACATTGTACAGGAGGTGGTGACCAGAACCATCCCCAAGAAATGCAAAAAGGCAAAATGGTTGTCTAAGGAGGCCTTACAAATAGCTGAGAAAAGAAGAGAGGAGAAAGGCAAAGGAAAAAGGGAAAGATACATCCATCTGAATGCAGTTTCAAAGAATAGCAAGGAGAGATAAGAAAGCCTTCTTAAGAGAACAATTGGAGGAAATAGAGGAAAACAACTGAATGGGAAAGACTAGAGATCTCTTCAAGAAAATTAGAGATACCAAGAGAACATTTCATGCAAAGATGGGCACAATAAAGGACAGAAACAGTGTGGACCTTACAGAAGTAGAAGATATTAAGAAGAGGTGGCACAAATACACAGAAGAACTATACAAAAAGATCTTAATGACCTGGATAACCACGATGGTGTGATCACTCACCTAGAACCAGTCATCCTGGAGTGCAAAGCCAAGTGGGCTTAGGAAGCCTCACTATGAACAAAGCTAGTGGAGGTGACAGAACTCCATTAAATTATTTAAAATCCAGGAATTGTGGCAAATATTTAGAAAGGTCATGCAGTTGACCTCACTGCTATACGTATGTTGCCTCTTTACAAATGGCACATAAGACAGTTTCAGAATTCCTGTGTCAAAGCAGACATCACGTCCTTCGTGGTGTGCTGTTTGCCCTGGCAGCCAGACCGTCATTCATCACTAGAACAGAGCGTGCTGTGTGCTAGATGCTGTACTGGGTTCTGAGCTGTTAGGCGGAGGTCAAGTATTGCTCCCTCTGATTTCAGAGCTTCCTGAAGAAGGGGAAAGAGATATTTACAATGCACTGTGATACATCCTGTAATAGCATAGGTGTTTGTGCTACAGCAGCATAAAAAAGAGAACCTTCCTCCAAGGGAAAGGCAGTCAGGTGAAGAGCAGATGGGGCAGGGGGAGAGGAAAAACAGAGGCTTTCCCGTGGACGTGAGATTCATCCGCGTGTAAGGTGACACAGGATAGTCCAGGAAGACAGGCAGTCTATGCACAGCCCTGCTGTGTGGTGTGTTCAGAGAGTAGGGGAGCTGGGGGCTGAAGTGGGCAGGGATGGGTATGGGAGGTGATGGGAGATGCAAGGTGAGACACAGTTAGAAGCTGCAGGAGTACCACGCTGGGGAGTTTGGATTTTATCCCAAAAGCCAGGGAAAGCAGTGGGACAATTTGAAATCGGAGAGCGCCCTGATCAGGTCTGCAGATTTTGAGGGAGACTTTGGCAGCAGACATGAATTGGAGGAGAAGAATAGCAAAAATAATTCCATCTAAAAGCCCTTCAGACGAACCTGGAATCTTTGTACAGAAAAATTTTGAAGCCATTAAGCTCCCCATGAATTGGAATGATGTGTTTTCAGTATCTTTGGCTTCTCAGTGAGCCAGCGGCAGCGTTTGGCCTGAAGCTCCCTTTTCCTCAGGACAACTCTGGCGCTGTGGTAACAGGACAGGCGGCCCACTTGGAGATGTTCATTTAATCCCCTGTGGCCAGGTCATCTGTCTGGCACGCACCGACCTTGCCACACTCCCTTCTCCCAGAAGCGTCTTGCCAGAGTTGCTGGTCCCTGTCTCGCCTTTGACTTGCCCGGGAACAAGTCCTGGATGTGTGTGGTAGTGGCTGCCCCACGGGAACCAAGCCACCTCAGTGGCTTGTGTTGAATTTCTCTGCTCCTGTTCACTGTCTGTTTCTCAAAAAAGAATTTCTCTGCTCTTTCATCATTCCTCCCCCGTCTGCATTCTGCCCATTCTTGAAGACTCAGATGAAACCGGACGCCTCTTTTGGCTTCCTAGCCCTTACCACTTTGGCCCACTTTCGCAGATTCTTTCAGTAGGAACATTTTTTCCAGAGCACTTTTTGGGGTCACCTACAATAACCTTCCTCCTCTGAACTCAAGAGTTTTTGTCTCCAGTTGTTTGGTACTTTCATTTATTCTGCCATTTACATGTTGTCTGGAATTGCTCACAGTTTCATGAGTTAGTCCCTTGTCCCCCTCAACCAGATTGTAAGCTAGCAGGGATTATGTGTTGTCCTTGAAATGCATGGCCCTGTATTATGCCTGTTGCAGCCAGAGCAATCTGCAACCGGTCACTTGCAACTGAGTCAAGCCCTAGATTAAACTATTTAATGGGTCCCTTTGGCTCTCAAATGATTACAAAGCCCCTTGGCCTGGCTACTGCCACCCTTTCTGCAGCAGGCCCCCTTACACTGACACCCCAGAAGCACTAAACAACTCGTGTCTCCATGAACAGGCAGTGCTCTCACTGGCCTCCTCACACACTCCTCTCTGCCTGAAGCACTCTTCCCTTGGCCTCTTTTCACCTGTGTGATTCCAGTTGTCTTTTGGGCATCCTGGGAAGCCTTCCTGCCCTTCATAAGAATGGCTGGTTGTTCCTTCCATAACCCTGTACTTCTCCAGTAGGTTCCCACTGAATGACTTATGGTTATCCTATATTGTGTTTATAGTGTCTAGCATAGTGCTTAGTCAGAGAACAACCAGTAAGTGTTTGTCCCCTCAAATGAATGACTTGTGGATGCACAGTAAATAATTGTTATTCAGAGTGTGTAATGCAGTATACAGATAATTTACACAAATAATTGTGTAAATGCAGTGTGGCTCTGGAAGGGAGGGGGCTGGCAAAGTGGAGTGGAGATTCTGTAGGATTTGTTTTTAAACCGTTGATATTGTCCCAGAAGAGCAGGGACTCTCTCCTCACTATGAAGGCTCAGGAGAGGAGCTAGACAGAGGACCACACAGAGATAATATCAGTCACTTACCGATTCTCTGCAACCTAATATTGTAGAGAGAGAGGCTGAGAAGTCCTCCAGGAATGTGTTGTTCACATGCTGCATTTTATAGCTGAGAAAACGGGTCCAGGGAAGGGAAGAGCAGAGCCTTTTCCAAGGTTCTCTACCTGGTTTAGCAGCAGGAACAGTAATATTGTTGAAGCCTCTGAGAAAGGAAAGGGTGCCCTTCGTTGCTCCATGCTCTACTCTGACTGCACATGAAGTGCTGGGACTGTGTCTTTAGGCTCAAGACTCTGGTTCATTCACTCCTGGATGCATTTCACCAATATTTAGCACCTACTCCCTGCCTGACCTTTTCTGCACCCTCAGGATACAGCACTGAAAAAGGACCAAGCGCTTGCCCTCATGGAGCTGACATTCTGGTGTCAGATGCAGAAGCAGACATCCTCATGTAGATATTATTTCTCTTTCTGTCCTTGGTACAGTATTTTTGCAATTAGAGGCTACTTTATTTAAAAATAATTTAAAATTTCTATCTGAACATTCAGAACAAAATAGAGACATTCAGTTGAATTAGTGACTTAAGACCTGTTTGGTGGTTTTTTCCCCATAACAAAGGCAGCTGCAAGCAAAACAGATTTTGATTCTCTGTAAGGAAGGGATTTTATCTGAATTGTTCAGAAGGAGCAGGCTGCCTCTGAGGGTAGAGAGTGTCCTGTCATTGTCATTTAATTTGACAAAGACTAAAGTCAAAGCTTAGCTGGCCCTTAGTCAGGCCCTGACGCAGACACTGGGATATAAAGATGAGTAAGAAATAACCCTTTGGGACTTCTTGGGTGGTCCAGTGGTTAAGAATCCTCCTCGCAATGCAGGGGACATGGGTTCCATCTGGCTGGGGAACTGAGATGGTCCCACATGCCATGAAGCAATAAACCCATGTGCCACAACTAGAGAATCTGTGTGCTGCAATGAAAGATCCCACATGCTGCAACTAAGACCTGACACAGCCAAATAAATAAATATTAAAAAAGAAAAAAGAAACAGCCCTTGTTCTTACAGAACTTACAGTCTTGCAGATGCAAAAGGGATTAAAAATCACTTTTATTTTAGTTCCAACAGACTTTTTTGAACATTTAGTATTTACCAGATATGAAGCTCAAGTTCATTTTCAACTTTGAGTTTTTATGTCACTTCAATTTTATTTTCAAGATCAATAGCTATCACTAAATTAGTAGCGAGTGCAAAATATCCCTTAATTAAGGAGAAACTGGTAATTGTTAGGCTTATGCTAAGAAAGGGGCACATCTATGCAAATGAGAGTCCTTCCCTTTGCATGGTAACCACTTGGACTTTCTCTTACATCCTTCACACCAGTTACAGAGATCCGTGGTGGCGTCAGGAGAAAAGCAGTTACCAGTGGAGTACCGCATCAGCAAGAGGTAAGAGGGGTCCTTCCTTGGCAGGGACTCTGGTCACACCTGCTGGCCACCCTGGCACAGGTGACTGAAGGTCAGCAGCAGTCATTCAGGTGCCATCGGAGATGCCACCGGAGAACCTGTAGTTCAGGTTTATATCTGTGCATTCTTGCTGAGAGGGAGCAATATCCACTCCCCTCACCCAAGGGCCTTTCACAGGCTGTTACATGGTCTGAGGACTTAACTAGGAGACCATTAGGGAAAGAGTTGGAAAAGCTCCTAAGCCCTAGACCAAAAATTAAGTATGTAGTTGTTCTCCTAAACAGGATTGCTTTTCCAGAAAGTCTCCATTCAAAATTTGACTTACAGAATTCTAGTTCCACCTCCTGACTCATATTCAAAGCATGACCTGCCACCACTCAGGCAAGAGGGAGGGCCAGAATCTTTGGATCTGGTGGCTTCTCTAGAGGGGAAGATCCAGCTGCATTCCCTTCCCTCCATCCCTAATCAGCCCCACTGCAGCCCTTGGTTTGTGCCATAAGGACAGTATGGATGATACAGTAAGAGGAGGGTCCCGACCAGAGCCATGGGAGACAGCGAGGACATCCTTGGGGAGAGGCCAGACCTCAGGCTGGGTGGATGGTTTTTGTAGTCTGGGAAGTGAAGTGAGTGATGAAAGCTTGGATTCAGAATCCTTTGGCTTAACTTACTTGGTCTGGTTTCTATTAGGAAGTTATTTTCTAAGTTTGGGATCTTTTACATTAGGAAGTTATTTTCTAAGTTTTGAAAGATCCATATAACTTCAGCTTCATTGCTTTGCTAATCTTTCTGACATTGTAGTGTCAAGGGGAAAATTCAACTTTCTGTTCTGCTTTTAGGGGAAGGAGGTGGTATTCTCCTTACTTTTCAGGTAAAGAAACTGAGACCCTCATTGCCTCCCCTCATTCACCACCCCCACCCCCAGCCACCACATTGCAGTCATTTGAATTTTGGTTCTGTCCTCACAGGGCTTCCCCAGAGGCTCAGATGGTAAAAGAATCTGCCTGCAATGTGGGAGACCGGGGTTCAATTCCTAGGTGGGAAAGATCCCCTGGAGGAGGAAATGGCTACCCACTCCAGTATTCTTGCCTAGGAAATCCCATGAACAGGGGAGCCTGGTGGGCTACAGTCCATGGAGTCACAGAGTCAGACACGACTAAGTGACTAATCCTTTCACTTTCTGTCCTCACAGCTTCACTAGAACTTGTCCCTCAAAGGTCACCAGTGAACTCCTAATCACTATTTTCCTGCGCAGAAACCTCCACTGACTCTTTATTATCCACTAAGACCAGATTCCTGAACCCAGGGTCCTCAGCTTACACAACATGCCCTGAGCCTGCTCTTCTTGCCTAATTTCCCATTACTTATCTCACAGACCAGATGCTTTCATGTTGATATATGTCACCCCACCACATCTGCACTTACACTATTTCTTCAGCCTGAAATACCCCTGTTTTTTCTATCTATTGAAATTTTATGCACCCTTCAAAATTTGGCCTACATGTCCATCTTACTGCCATGCCATTCAAAATTAACATCTTCCTCTGTGCTCCTCAGGAGTTTAAAGGCTGGTTCTCATTTTTCTACTTCGATTTACACTCGTTGTGTTTGTGTATATTTGTGTATCTCTTCTAATGAGCTCTTTGAACATAGAAGCCTTGTCTTGAGTACCTTTGTAAACCTTAGTGCCCACAGCATAGCACTATGCATGCACTCTGTACAAAGGAATAAACAAACTAATCCATCATTTATAGACCCAGATGTGCCAGGGTACTTCCCTTAAGAGCCCTCATCATCTCCCTAGGGGACTCACTGGTTTGCTTCCTTACTTCCCAGGGACCTACATTCTGATCCCAAATCCTCCACTTTATCAGAACCTCAATAAGACATTCAGGAAAAAAGACTGAACTTTGCTCTTTGGCCTTTGACCTATCGTGGTTTGTCTTGGAGTAGAGCAGAACAGAGATTTTTCTGCGTTTTACAGCAATCACCAGCATATAACCTACAAAGCTTTTTCATAAGCATTGTCTGTCATGACCTTCATAAGTCTCTGTAATAGATATTATCACCCCCGTTTGATAGATGAGTGCATTTCCTGTCCTCCCTGCCTGCCTTCCTTCTGGCAGTTGACGTCATTCATTCATTCATTCACAGTTAGTCATTTCTGGCATCAGATCACTGATGCTTCAACTTGTGGTGTGTTCTAGTGCCTGGCTGAAGGACACTGTTGACCCAGTGCTGGTGACCCTTGACCGTCGCATTGCTGCCCTCACAGGCCTTGATGTCCAGCCTCCCTATGCAGAGTATCTCCAGGTGGTGAACTATGGGATTGGAGGGCACTATGAGCCTCACTTTGACCATGCCACGGTAACTACGGGGTCAGTGACCATCTCCTGGGGGTAGGGAAAGAGCGTATTATTTATTTCTCTGAGGCAGAGCTCTAACAGGGCCCCCAGGGAACACTGAGTGAAATCTTAGAACAAACGTTCGTGTTCTAGGTAGATCTGAAAGTCTTAGTTTCAAGGTGATAGCTGCTGATTCATCTTTTACTAAAACTCATTGAAAAACACTCTTACAATGACTGAATTTTATGACATGTAAATTATATCAGTTAAACTCTTCTGTAACAAAAGAATATGTCTCTTTGGCAAATAGGAATTCCAGTCTTATGACTTGGCATGTTTACAGAATAATTATCTGTAACATTTTATATATTAATTTATTTCACTAAAAACCTGAAGATACAATGAACCACCAGTCCGTTCACTGAAAAGTGAAAATGAAAGTCACTCAGTTGTGTCTGACTCTTTGCAACCCCATGGACTATACAGTCCATGAAATTCACCAGGTCAGAAGACTGGAGTGGGTAGCCTTTCCCTTCTCCAGGGGATCTTCCCAATGCAGGGATTGAACCCAGGTCTCCCAAATTGCAGGTGATTCTTTACCAGCTGAGCCACAAGGGAAGCCCAAGAATACTGGAGTGGGTAGCCTATCCCTTCTCCAGCAGCTCTTCCTGGCCTAGGAATCGAACTGGGGTCTCCTGCATTGCAGGTGGATTCTTTACCAGTTCAACCATCAGGGAAGCCTTTAACTACTAATAAGCAATTTAGTTTGATTAGTATACAATTCACTTATATGTGTACCTAATAAATTGGTAAAAGGAAAAAAAAGTATATTGAGTAACTGCCAGCAAAGACAGGCACATATGTGACCAGGTATAGCTCAAGGTCTCTCCCATCTGTGACTCCCCCATTTTTCTCCTCCCTGTATTGTGGTGGAATACTGGTACCTTCTGGTTGTCACTCTGGTGCCTTCTGCATAAAATAACGATGTGTTCTGTTTTTGTCTCAGTCACCAAGCAGCCCACTGTACAGGATGAACTCTGGGAACCGGGTCGCAACATTTATGATCTATGTGAGTCTTGCTCTGGAGGGACTGGGGTTACTTACTTAATGATTATTTCTCTCTCTTTTACTTTATGGTTTTCAAAGCAATATAAGATACTGATTTTTATGTGATATTCACAGCAGAAAAATCTCCAGGATGTTTGTAAATTTCATATAGCACTCTCATTAGGCACCATAGGAGGAGTGAAAAATACATGTAGACCTAACTGTGACCTTGTCGTTGGCTGTGATTAGGATGGGAGTGGCCTTACGTGAAGGCCAGGAGATCCTGGGACCTGAACAACATGGGAAGGGGATGTGGTTCTCTTTCTTTGAGGTCCCATAGACTACTTGCTGTAAAAAAGCATGGACCTATAGATGAGGTCGTGGAGCTGTGAGGGTAAGAGAGGAGAGAAATGAAGCCGCTGAGATTATGAGAAGGAAGAACAGAGATGCCTACAGAGAAATTCAGTAAGTGTGGCTCTCTCATATGTAATGAAAAATTTCTTCCCTTTATCCTTATAAAGTCTTCAGTTAACTCTACATTCAATTCAGTTCAGCTCAGTTGCTCAGTTGTGTCTGACTCTTTGCGACCCCATGAATCGCAGCACGCCAGGCCTCCCTGTCCATCACCATTACACCCCCTTAAAACAGTAAATTGGCCTCTTCTCCTAGTTTCTGACCTGACCCTATAGAATTTGGACCTCGTCTTTATTATCTCACTGATCCTCTTCCTGTCAGATCATGTGGTTTTGCCTCCTTCTCTTTGGACAAGTCATAATATCAGTCATCTGTCATTTAAAGCATAAGATGTGTATTATACTGTTAAATATAAATGCTCTACATTACACTCTAAGATGAGGGCCTGGTTTCAGGCTCATTTGAGTAGCAGACATCCCCACCCTAGCATTCCCTCTTTCCTTAGTCCTGTATCTGGTCTCCACAGTGTAGCCAAGAAAGGATAGAGGCCAGCACTCTATATTGCTGGCAGTCCCAACATGGCTTTTTTCACATGGCTTGGTTTTAACTTTCTGCAAAACTGGAAAGCTGCCACTGCCAGTGGTGTCTGGCCTCTTGTGGTCATTCTGAACATTCTGATCAGGCAGAGGGATGGCTGACGTCAGCTCTCCGGGCAGGGCACATGGCTTGGATCAGCAGCTAGTGCATCTCTGGTTGATGACTCAAGCTGGCATGTGTGAAGTCATAGGCAGTTGATGTCTTTGGACATCCACCAAAGAATAGGACTTCCAGGGGCCACAGTCTCTCTGTTCTTTATCCCCCTAGTGTCTTCTGCAGCTGACTCCCTGATTACAGAGGCCTGGTTACTATGGTAAAGGTAGCACAGATGCAGGAGACCAGCAGTTTTAAATGGCAAGTGCAGAAGTGTGTCTGTGTTTGGATTTTAAGCCTCTGATACACAGTGGAATGGCATGCGTTTGGGTTTGGAGTCAGTTGGCCTGATTCAGGTTCTGCCACTTAACATGTGGCCTCAGCACAAATCACAATTCTCTGAGCTTCTTTTCTTGCTCTGCACCTCCCCTCAGGGCTGTCAGGAGGACCTGATGAAGTCAGGTGAGGGGATATCTCTCTATGAAGTTTCATACAGTATATTTTTATCATTCTATCCTAGAAACCAAGTATAGGACCCCATGAAGGGGACTGTGGGACCTAGGAAGTGTTAGCTTATTCCCAGTTCTTGCATCTTCAGATTAGGGTTAAGACCATCATAAACATTTCTGAAGACAAGAGATAAGGTTTGTGGAGAATATAAGAATAATATTATAGGGGGAAAATAATCTTTAAGAAGTAGAGGATTGAGTTGAAATCAGGTTAGTGATTTCTGCTAAGGGGATGGAAGATCAGTCCCAGTACAAAGCAGTGGAAGGTTTATAGAGGGAAGATTTCCTTGCCCTCCACCAAGCTCACAATCCATACCCTGCTCTGGAGCCTCACAGCACACTGATCCAATTCTCTTTTCAATCTGTTGTTTAAGTCCTTCCACCCGCCTGTGCTATGATACCGCAGGTAGTGTGCAAGAGTGCCATATAATGGTTAGCAGCAGGGCCTTCGTAGTCAGATAGCATTGGCTCAGCTCCAGTCCTGGCTTGGAGTTATGTGACCTTTTGTAAACCACTCAGTCTCTCTGAGACTTGGCTTCCTTATCCCTAGACTGTGAATAACAACAGTCCTACCTAAGGATGATATATTTGTTGTGAGGAATAAGGACTTAGTATGATGCCTAACATCACTCACTGCTCACTTACCACTCACTGCTCACTCATCAATCACTGCTCAATAAATGTCAACTATTATAAACTATAACTGCTTTTTTTTTTGAATGGTAAGATGATGAATAATATAAATTATTTTGAAGTATTTTCCAGTATTTTTCAAAATGTTTAGTTTGTGTATTTCTTTGAAAATCAGTAAAAACTCTTCAAATTAAGTAAACATATCTGTAATTCTAGAATATACCAGTGGTGAAGCTCTTTAGCTGAGGTTACCTGGAGAGGGTCTGAGTGATCTGGGAAACACACCAAAGGGGCAATCAGTAGTTCATATGAGGCCCAGCTTTCAAAAACAGTAAGTGTTCTGTAAGCCATTGGTCATGATGCATTACTAGGCTGTAAAATCAATTTAGTGGATCTGGTCAGCATTTAAGAAACCTGAACTAGAAGACAATAAAATAAAATGGAAAATAACAGACAGTATCTCATGTAGTAAGAATGTTCTATGAAACTTAGGGACATGTACGTGTATCTTGGGCAGTGATATAAACTAAATTTCTTCTTGAGGGTCTCAAAGTTTGGAGCTACCCATGGTAACCCTTAATAAGGATGTTAGCTGGAAGGATAAAGAAAGGGGGGATTTCGAATGTCCTCGTGTGGCCATGTGGGCAAACACTGATGCCACTGGGTGGGCTGTCTTCGTTCCTAAACTGGGTGATTGTGTTTCCAAAGTATTTCTCCTAGAGTCAAAATAGGGGCACACAGGAGGGAAATTTATGCAGAAATGACATCAGATGTCACATGGAGCAGAGTAAGGTAGTCGGGCTATTTCAACTCTGGCTTTCCCTCTGGCCTTGTAGTTGAGCTCGGTGGAAGCCGGCGGAGCCACAGCCTTCATCTACGGCAACTTCAGCGTTCCTGTGGTCAAGGTGAGTGTGGGTCTGATGCCAACGGATGATTTTTAGGATTGTTGGAACGAACACCTCAACTTTTGTGCTGTCTGTGCTTGTACGCCTGTCTTGGGAGGGGGGCCAAAAAGAGGTCTTTCTTGATTCCCAGAATCAAAGATAGTTCCTCAGTTTTCTTGACTACTGCATTTACTTATATCTCTATTTTTTTTAATCTTATTTACACTTGTATTACAAGTAGATGATTACATGTCTGCCTTTCTATTACAATACAACTCCTCAAAGGTGAGAAATCTTTTATTCCCCTTCAGAATCTCAGCAGCAACTGGTCCCTTCAGTCATTCTTTCAGTAAATACTGGGGACTAGAGGCACTCAGAGTACAGAGGAAAGGTCATAGTCCTTGCCTCCAGGAGCTCACGGAGAGGTTAACAGGCAGTAATGGTATACTGCCAGAAGAGCTATAAAGTCAAGCAAGGCATTAGAGGAGGGCCAGTGTGGTAAGAGGTTTACTTAATGAATGAGTATCTCCCCCAAATTTCAGAGCAATCAGTCAATCAGGGATGGAAGCCCTTAATTACTTCAGGAATGAAATGAAGACAGATAATTGAGATTGTGCCTCCTAGCACTTAGCACAGTGCCCAGCACATCCTAAGCATTCAATAAATAAATGCCGGGTATTTAGCAAAATTCAGTGGTTTGGCCAGGGATAAAGTAAGTGTGTAGGAGAGAAATCTGATTATAAGAGGTAGAAAGAACATAGAAGATTTGGAGTCAGAACACCTGGGGTTGAGTCCTGACATTGATCCTTCTTAGTTACGTTATTTAAAGCCCCTAAGCCTCAACTTCCTTGCTGCTAAGGTGGAAATGACAATGATGCCTGCTTCCTGGGGGTGTTACTAGGAAGTGCCTAAGAAAGGCTAAGCATCAGAATTAAGTTCTTCGTTGGGTGAAGAATATTTTGCTCCCTTTGTGCTTTTTGTTGAGTGCCTGTCCTCAGTGATCCCGTGACACCCTGTGCTCCCCTTCCCCCTGGCACCTGTCAGTCTCCTCCTGGTCTGTTTTTATGTCTCTCTCCCATGAGACTGTGAGCTCCCTGAGAGCAGAATTGATCATGATTTGTCTCTGCATCCACAGGGTCTGGAGTAGGGCAGGGTCTTCAATAAGCAATGCATCAGTGAATGAGCAATGGTAGTTTGTCTACCATTTTGTGCCATTTTATGTATTCCTTGCCCCCATCTGCATGGACAGTTTTCTTGGTTAATGACATGCATGCATTTGTCCTCAGTCAAGTGCTTCCCTAGGACTGAGATTCTGGGCTGACCTTCCCTGGGGCGGGCTCTGCTTGCTTTCAGAATGCAGCACTATTTTGGTGGAACCTGCATAGGAGTGGTGAAGGGGATGGTGACACACTCCATGCTGGCTGCCCTGTCCTGGTAGGAGATAAATGGGGTAAGGCCTGCCTTTCTGGGCATGGGAAAGGGCTGAGGGGTTCAGGAGAAAGTGAAATAGGGGTTGGATAGAAAATAACGTATCCTTTCATTCCAAAAGCTTCATAACAGGGACTTCCCTGGTGGCCCAAGTGGTTAAAACTCCGAGCTTCCATTGCAGGGGGCCTGGATTTGATCCCTGGTCTGGGAACTAAGATCCCACATGCTGCGTGGCCAAAAGAAATAAAGAAGAAAATTTCTTAAACTGGATAAAAGCGAAAATACAAAAATCAACTTTAAAAAAAATTAAATGGAAAATAACAAAATTAGGGGGGAAAAAGCTTCATAAAAATGCCACATTATATTGAGGTGATCAGATTCTGGGCTAGTGGCCACCAGTACATTAGGAGCCCATAAAGGGGAGGCTTCTGTCCTATAGCTAGTGTCAGTAAAAGTTGACTGGCCTGACCAGATAGGCCCTGATTTCTCAGGACAGCTAAAGAAGAATCAGTGCAAAGTCCCACTCCTCTGTTCCAAGGAGAAAACCATCAGGTGCTTTCCCATGAGGAGAGGTCAAACAAGGAAGAGATAAGTAAGGGACACACTCACGTCATACATGTGTCCACTAGAACTTAGGTCTTAAAGCAGAAAAAGGAGTAGAAGAGGGACTCTTGTGCTGAGGTGGACCTGACCAGGGGGAGCCAGGTCTTTTGTCTTACTACCCTGAAATGGTACTCTGTGGGAGGAGGGGCTTTCAGGAGCTACATGAAGGGTAAGTGACCACAGTACCCATGGGTTTGAAAATTAAGTCTCTAGTAGACAGGACCTGTGGGGACTTTTTCCAGGGGCCACTGCCCTTCTTGCTCTTTATTGCTACTGGATGAACATCTTATAGTCTGTGACAGGTCTGGGACCAAGATGAGGCGAGCAAGTCACCAAGGGTATGGAATTGAATGACCCTGTGAGTATCGCCTCTGTCTGCTCTGCTGAGCCTGCTCTTCTACCTCCCCGTTCTTCCCCAGTGGCCAACAAGTGGATACACGAGTATGGACAGGAATTTCGCAGACCCTGCAGCTCAAGACCTGAAGACTAAAGTGTTGGCAGAGAGAAGCTGGAGGAGTCCTTTGGCTTTCCAAAGAAGCCAGAAGTCAAAAACTAGGGTAAGAGAGGAGAAAGGGGAGCAAGCTTCTGGAGGAGGCCCTTGTCAGCCTTTTCTGTTCCTTGCAAATGGGAGACAAGCAAGTGGTCTCTAGCAGGGGTCACCTGAGAACTTACATTGTTTCTCCTCAAGCCATGACTCACAGCAGAAGGAACAAGACAAAGGAGGGGGCACGAAGGCTGGAGAGAGAAGTTTCTGGAGCTCAGGCTCTCTGTTGGAAACAGGGCATATCAACAGTCTCCAGGGTTTGGTCAGTGGGGCTTTCACCACTTGAACCTTCACAACAGGGGCCCAGAAGTGGCAGTGAGGACCCCTGCAGGCGGCGCCTCACTCCCACCTGCCCTTCTGCCCACTGACTCCTGCTGAAGGCTGAGCAGGGGTGTCTCTGTATCAGGAGTGTACCTCATGTGATGACTTTTTAAAAAGCAGACAGTAACTTTAAAAAAATATATGATTTTTAAATACAGCCATTAAAATGTTTTAATAGTCATAAAAAGTGTTTACAGATCATTTTTCACAACCAAGAAACATTCTTACGTTGTAACGTTATGTGAAAACAGCAGAGCAAAATGTTTTATTTATGTATATTCTCATCTTGGCTCATCTCCCACCACTCCCTGGTCAGTGCATTCCAGACACATTCTTTCTATTTCTTAAAACCGATGTCGGCCTCACTCTTTAGGTCTTTGCACTCAACTGCTCCCACCAGGGCTGAGCCCTCCTCACCATTCCACTCTTGACTCAATGTCGCTTCAGAGAGAACTTCTCTGACACCCAACCTTCTAGCCATTTTGTTCACATAGGCCAACTTTATCTTCTTCCTAACACTTTTCTCAAAGTTACTTTATTCATTTAATTGTGGTCAGTTGCCTGCCCTGCATGGTGAGTGCTTTAAGACCCCTCTCTACTTTGTAAACGCCTCTATTGTAGTCCCCATCTCACTGAATTTTTCAGTATTTGTTTATTTGCCTGGCTGCTTGCACTCCTTATACCTCTTGGTATCCCCCAGAAAAAGGTCTGTTTCAAATAAGTAGGCATTCAGCAAATATTTTTGGATAAATGAGTAAGAAGGCCTCCTTTGAGCTATGCTTTGGAGGACAGGTAGGATTTTTATAGGCAGAGTCTAATGAGGAGCAGCACTTCCCTGCAGGACTAGCATGAGCTAAGGCTGCAGTGATGAGTGAGTGATACTTGAGCACTTGTGCAAAGTGAACATTCCAGGCAACTTGGCTCAGTTTCCCCAACAGGAGATGGGCTGTGTGTTGTGCTCACAGAGAAGCCTCACAGGTAAAAGGCTAGATGCTTAGATGCTGTGTTGCCTCTGCCCCCTCCCTGTACTACGCATGTCAGGATTTCTGCCTCCCAGAGCTCCGTGGGCCCCAAGGAAAAGGTTCTGGTGTGCTGATATCCGGGGTCCAGCAGGGCCTCTGTGAGCACCTGTCACCAGTATTTCTGCTGAGTGCATCAGGACTCTGGAAGCCCTGATTACTAAATTATTGTCACATAAGTGAGGAAAAACACTTTTCCCCTCCCCTTCTGAGTTCTTAGGAGTTCTGAGTTCTTACAGAGGTTCTGAAACCTCTTTAGTAAAAGACATATTAACAAGAGGAAAATAAAGGTTTATTAACATGTATATATCATATATACATGGGAGATACCCAAGGGAAAATGAGTAATTTCCCGAGGTGGCTTAGAACTCAGGATGAAATACTGTCTTAAGAGAGAAAGGAAGGAGGGGAGGTAAGCTTCTTAGATTTTTAGGAACAATGAATAGCCCTTAGAAAGGGGCCCACAGATGGGAGACATGATAATGATTGTCTGGGTGTGGTGTCCACTTGTGATCTCTTCTCCTGTGCAGTTTTCCTTGGCTGATACATGTAAAAAAAAAAAAAAAAAAGATACACTATGGTTGTGATAAAAAAATAAATAAATAAATAAAAAAAAAAAAAAAAAAAAAAAACTCTTGAGGGAATTTCAGACAATTGAGTTCCTTTTGGAGCATCTGCCTTCAAGCAGGTGAGGGGAGTTTAGAGAAAGGGGTGCAGCTGTGGGGTCCCAACAATGCTTAGGATGTAGGTAGCTATTTCTAAATAGGAGTGATTGTGGCTTGGTGCCTAGCTTGTTTATAATTTTGCTTTTCTTTCTTGCGCTGTTCTTTAGACGTTTTTCTAACAGCTCTCTCTCCAAACTCGGCTCCTGGTGTTGCACTTGTTTCCTCACAAGACTTGCTCCAGGGAAGATTCTTTATGTTAATGACTGTTATGTCAGTAGTAACATACTGACCACGTACTCTTGGCCAAGCACTGTGCTAAGAACTGAGGTAGGTGTACTTGCCTCCTTCAAGCCTCACATGAACAGGTACGATTATCTCCATTTTATAGATGAGGGAAACTGAGGTAGAGAATATGTAACTTGCCTGAGGTTACACAGCTATAAAGTGACAGAGGCAGGATTCAAAATACAAGTGTCTCCCCAAAGATCTCTTTTTTAAAATTTAAGATTCACACAACACTGTAAAGCAACTATATGCCAATAAAAAATTTTTTATAGCAATGAAAAAAATTTTTAATTGAAGTATCATTTCAGTTATACAGTGAAGTGATTCAGTCATATAGTCATCTTTTTCAGATTCTCTTCCCTTAGAGATTATTACAAGATATGAGCATAGCTCCCTGTGCTGTACAGTAGGTCCTTGTTGGTTACCTACTTTATATATAGTAGTGTGTATATGTTAGCCCCAGGCTCCTAATTTACCCACCGCCCTTTGCCCCTCTGGTGACCATAAGCTTGTTTTCTATGTCTGTGAGTCTGTTTCTGGTTTGTAAATAAGTTCTTTTGTACCATTTTTAGGTTCCACATAAAAGCAATATCATGAGATATTTGTCTTTCTCTTACTTCACTTAGTATGATAATCTTTAGGTCCATCTATGGACTAGAAAGAAAGAGAAAATATGAATTACCAATTCATATTTACCAGTACTTAAACTGAATCAGTGTAAAACTCCCAACAGAACTCCCAGGTGGCGCCAGTGGGAAAGAACCCGCCTGCCAATGCAGGAAACATTAAGAGACATGGGTTTGATCCCCAGGTCGGGAAGATCCCCTGGAGGAGAGCATAGCAACCCACTCCAGTATTCTTGCCTGGAGAATCCCATGGACAGAGGAGCGTGGTTAGCTACAGTCCCTAGGGTCAGACAGGACTGAAGCAACTTAGCACACACGCAGCAACAAACAAGTCCAGCACCACATGCCTTCACAGGCAAATTCTACCAAACATTTTAAAGAGTTAACACTTATCCTTCTGAAACAACTCCAAAAACACTGCAGAGGAAGGAACACTTCCAAATTCATTCTATGAGGCCACCATCACTCTGATACCAAAACCAGACAAAGATATCACACACAAAAAAGAGAAAATTACAAGCCAGTATCATTGATGTAGATGCAGAAGTCCTCAATGAAATGCTAGCAGACTGACTCTAGTAAAAAGGATCATACAACATGATCCAGTGGGATTTATCTCAGGGATGCAAGGATTCTTCAACATCCACACATCAGTGTGATACACCACATTAACAAATTGAATAAAAGTTATATGATCATTTCAATAGATGCAGAAAAAGCTTTTGATAAAATTCAACATCCATTTATGATAAAAACTCTCCAGAAAGTGGGCAAAGAAGGAACCTACCTCAACATAGTAAAGACCATATATGACAAACCCACACCTAACATCATACTCAGTGGTGAAAAACTGAAACATCATCAGGAAAAAAAAAAAAGACTCCTTTTATTGCTCAGTTAACTACCCAGTTAACTGTTTCCTCCATCCACCTATAAGGCCAGCCACTTGGCTAGTCTCAGGTCCCAAGGTTTCACCTGGCTACAGGCTGGGGTTTCTAGCAAACTGCTGGGAGAGGAAGCCAGCTCTAGGAATATGGGAGCCTCTTGAGTTTACATAACTTTCTGAGCCTTGACCCAGACTGAGAATGTGTTGACTCTGGCCACTGATGGGGCAGCCAGCTGGGGCAGGAGAAGAGTTGGCTTGAAGCTTACAAACAAAACACTGTCCCTGCAGGAAAGGGTATGACTGCTGTTTGCTTTCTCAACTCCTGTTGTAGTCTTTTCTTGTTTCCCCTTGGTAAAAGTCATGACCCTCTAATTCCCCAGCTCCAGTTCTGATGACACAGGCCCTTGAATCCAACTTAAGGGTCCTTGGCACCTCACTGTCCAAATCAGTTTGTTTTGTTCATTCCACTTCTTAAAATAGCGAGCCTTTCTCCTCCTCACATCCCTGCAGCACTTACCTAGTTCAGAATACCTTTGCCTTTTACCTAGACTACCACTGCCTCTTTACTGCTATCTAGTCCAGTGCCTGCAATCCATTTCCACAGGTACCAGAGTGACTTTCCTTAGTGTCTGGCAACTCCCCGTCTTGCCACTATAGGCCTTTATATCCTGCCTCCTTCAACGTCTCCTGTCACAGCTTTTACTCCAGCCACACTGATCATACTAATCTACCAGCTGTGTCAGACTGACCTTCGTGGGCTTGTGCATGCTGCCTGCTCTCCCTGCAGTGTATTTCCCTTCTCCACCACCATCCTGTGATGATGCTGATGATGCTTCAAAGCTCAACTCAAATGCTACCTACTTTGTGAAACTATCCCTTGCCTGTTTCCAAAGAGGTTTAGTTGTCCCCTTCCCTTTGTACAGTGTGGTCACTGTTTCTATAATGGTCTCTCTAGACGATGAGCTCATTTAAAAGGCCTCATTATTTATCTCTGTCTCCAGAGTCAACTGGAAGCTTGGCATAGAGAAACTGCTCAGGTTTGCTTAATCAGCAAATAAATGCTAATTTATTTGTAATAGCAGCTTTAGAAGAGGATAACAAGAAGTCATGCCCAACTCTCCTCAGCCCTTTTAGTCTTCTCAGTCTCAAGATTCTGCCCCCCAACATTAGATCTGTGTCTACCCCATTTGCCCACGTTCTTCTTTCAGGAAGTTCTCCTTGGACATTCTTTAGTGTATGTGTCTGACAGATTGGCCTCTGGTTTGACCCAAATATGTTCCTTCTGGCTTTGTGGAAATCCTTCATTCAAAGGGTCCAAGGGTGTCCTTTATTCTCTTCTTGAGTTTGGGGTGCTGATCTGCAGTCTTCACAAGGATGCTACATCCAGCACTTAGCAGGTGCTCCTTAAGAGTACATTATGTGGAAACCAACACAACACAATAAAGCAATTACCCTTCAATTAAAAAAAATACGTTATGTGAACATATGAATGGTCTCTTCTCTACAAGGATATAGTGGAATGCTCAAAGATGCTGCCACCTCCTAGCCATGTCTGTGGGCAAGTCATTTCACATCTCTGAAGTTCAGTTTCTTTGCCTTTAAATTGGGGGAAAACTGGATAGCTACATGTAAAAGACTGAAATTAGAACATTCTCTAACATCTTAAAGTGGATTAAAGACCCAATAAAATAAATTAGAATGGATTAAAGACCTAAATATAAGACCAGATACTGGGCTTCCCTGGTGGTAAAGAATCCGCCTGCCAACACAGGAGACTCAGGTTCGATCCCTGGTCCAAGAAGATCCCACATACTGTGGAGCAACTAAGCCCATGTACCACAACTACTGAGCCTGTGCTCCACAACGGGAGAAGCTACTGTAATGAGAAGCCCACGTACTGCAACTCGAGAGTAGCCCCTGCTCTCCACAACTAGAGAAAAGCCTGTGCAGCAATGAAGATTCAGCACAAAAATAACAAATAAATAAAATTATTTTAAAAAAAGACTAGATACTATAAAAACCTCTGCAGGAAAACATAGAACACTCTTTGACATATAATCACAGCAATATTTTTTTGGATCTGTTGCCTAAAGTGATGGAAATAAAAGCAAAAATAAACAAATAGGACCTAATTAAACTTAAAAGCTTTTGCACAGCAAAGTACAGATAAACAAAATGAAAGGACAACCTACTAGAATGGGAGAAAATATTTGCAAATGATGTGAATGACAAGGAATTAATTTCCAAAATATACAAACAACTCATATAGCTCAATATCAAAATAACCCAATCCAAAAATGGGCAGAAAACCTAAATAGTTCTCCGAAGAAGACAGGCAGATGGGCCAACAGGCACATGAAAAGATGTTCAGCGTCACTCACTAGTCAAGAAATACAGCTCAAAACTACAGTGAAGTATCACTTCACACCAGTCAGAATGGCCGTCATCAAAAAGTCTACAAATAATAAATGCTAGAAAGGGTGTGAAATGCTGGAAAAGGGAACCTTCCTATAGTGTTGGTAGGAATGTAAATTGGTGCAGCCGCTATGGAAGACAGCCTGGAAGTTCCTTAAAAAACTAAAACTAGAGTTGCCGTATGATGCAGCGATTTCACTCCTGAGCATGTATCTGGAGAAGACAAAAACTCTTAATTTGAAAGATACAGCCACACCAGTGTTCACTGCAGCACTATTTACTGTAGCCGAGACATGGAAGCAACCTAAATGTCCATCAACAGATGAGAGTATAAAGACTTGGTGTGTGTGTATGTATACACAATGGAATACTACTTAGCCATAAAAAGAATGAAATAATGCTATCTCCAGCAACATGGATGGACCTAGAGATTATACTGAGACAAAAAAAGACAAACATATGATATCACTTCTATATGGAATCTAAAAAATTTAAAAAACAGAGACTCACAGACTTCAAAAACAAATTTATGGTTTCCAAAAGGGAAAGGTCGGAGGAGGGGTAAATTAGGAGTTTGGGACTAACGTATACACAAAATATACACATATAAAGTAGTCAAACAACAATGACCTATTGCATACCACAGGGAACTATATTCAATATCTCATAATAACCTGTAATGTAAAAGAATCAGAAAAAGAACACATATATATAACTAAACCACTTTGCTCTACACCTGAAACTAACACATTGTAAATCAACTTAAATTTAAATATATATATACTTAAATTTAAAAAATGACAATTTATGTGAACTTTAAAAAAATAAATTGGGAACAATAATGCCCATACTTCACAAGGATTCAAAAGATTAAGATGTAACTAGCACAGTTTCTAATATAAAGTTAAGTGAATGTTTCTTAGTCTCCATCCATCAAGCCTCATCATCATCCTCTTGCCAGATATCTGTACCAAAATGACCTCTGCCCAGGGTCCCCTATATTGTCCAGGAGGCAGTGAACTTGGACCTAATGCCTGCCTGTCAAATAACAACATCACCTACCTCATAGGGTTGCCATGAGGATTAAATAGTTGTGTGTAAAGTGAATTAACTGCTCAACTTTGATGACTATTATGACTTAACCTGGTGAACAAAATTGGCTGTGTCCCTGAAAAACACACATTTGACCATGCTGCCCCCCTGTGGACAGAGTGCAAACAGCCCAGCAAAGAGACCTTAGTAGGCCCCTCCCTCCCCCAGAAGGGCCTGGTGGAAGCACAGAGGACACACAAGGGACTTTTCTTCTCCACTAGGGAGCTCAGGCTTTACTCAGCTATATTTAGTGAACATCCAAACCGGGACTCCTCAGAATAATGTGCTTGTTGGAATGTAGATCAGCACTGACTCAACAGGTCTGGGGTAAGGCCAAAATCTTGAACAAGCTTCCAGATGATACTTAATGCTACTGACCACAGGCCACTCTGAGTAAAGAAGGTCTTAACTATAATATGGGAGTGACATGACAGGAACTATTTATTAGGTGCTTACCCTAGGTCAGTTACCGAGAGAGTTAACCTATATTAACTTGTGTAGTCCTCAAGACCCTATGGGGTAAATACTGTTGACCTCTATTTTTCAGATGAGGAAACCAAAGCATAAAGAGAGAAAAGTACTTAGCTATCTCATACATCCAGTAAGGGATGGGCCTTAGGTTCTAATTTAGGCAGCCTAGCTCCAAAACCTGCTAAGAAGAGGACTCCAACAATGTGTAGAGAATAGCCAGGGGAGGGGCTGTGGCAAGGACAGGAGGAGACATAGAACAGAGAATGGACAGCAGTTATGAGTAAGAGAGGAAGCCATCAAGGACACTTTGGCTGCCTTGTTTAGCCCAGTGGAGAGATGGTGGAACCTATCACTACTGAGCTAGGAAATATGGGACAAAGAACAAGTTTTAGGGGGAAGGTAAGTTCAACTTTAGGACTGGTCAGTGAGTGGCTTTTGGTCATGTGGACAAGTAGACAAACCTAAGTGTCTAGAGTTGAGGAGGTGCTTGAACTTTTAGACAAACTTTGGGCATTAGCAGATGTGAAACTCTGAGAGCTTAAGGTCATGTGGACAGTGCACAGACTGTCCTGTTCTAGGCCAAAGTCAACACAGTACATAACTAGAAGAGATAGGATTGGAATCTACTCTCCCTGGCTGCAGTGGAGGCTGGCTCTGTCCATTCTAATGGGCATTCTGGCTCTGGAGAGCAGGCAGAGAGCAAGATTTTGATGGGCTGCAGGAAACAAACAGGCTTTTCTGGAGCTCTATGGTGACTAAATCCAATGAACTGTCCCCAACCCCTAGATCAACAGGAATAAGGACAACTCCATAGAGAAAGACCAGATTAAAGGTTGGGAGATATTTATTTTCTTTAAACAAGGTCATAAATAACAAAGAAACAAAGAAGGTCCCAGACTTCAGACCCTGTAGCAGGACAGGGATAGGAAGTTGTGGGGTCAAAAGGTGGAGGGGGCTACGCATCACCTAAGACAGTCACAGAAAAGATGGGCTGCAGGAGACTGCCCCTCCTTACCCTTGGAAATGGCGTGCCTGGGCAGCAGGGAGGCTGAAGTGCTGTGATGAGGCAGCTGGAAAAGGGCAAATGTTGAGGATGCTGGACTGGACTGTTTCTATGAAGGGTGACATGGGAACCATAAACGACTAAGATAAGCTGTGGGTCTAGAAAAGGCAAGCGGGCACTCTGCATACCTCCAGGGACCAACTATGAAAATGGTTAAATCTTCTTCTTAAAAACAACTCCACGGGCCTTAGCCTGTGGCTTTGTGCATGGGCTGTAGTCAACCTGGGTTGCTCTATGGCAGGTGAGGGCTCAAGAGACCCCTGGAGCAGCCTGGCCTCAGCCCAGGGCAGGTGCCCAGACATGTGGGAGTGGGACGTGGGCCCTCCGCAGATGGGAGGCCATGTGCTTGGACTGGCTGAGCCTGATTTTTCAGGCGAGTCTCTTGTGATGCTATCCACCACCCCTCCCTCTACCTAAGAATGAAATCCTGACCTCTCTGGGTCTTCCAAGCCTAGAAGAATAAGACGGGGATAAAAAGGTATCTGACTGGTGTTTTATTTACGAGGGAAAAATAAAGGCCATCGTGCACATGGTCCAGCCTGTGAGGCAGAGCAGGACCATGGCAAGAACGATCTCAAGGAACAGAGGTTCCTGTACCTGGGCAAACGTGGGGACCCAGGTACATTACCGAATGCCAGGAAGAGGGCCCAGGGCGGCGGTTCTGACGGAGGCTTCACCCGAGGCAAGGCAGGGAGGACAGGCAAGAGCTATCCTTTAACAGGGAAGGGAGAGGAGCTGGGGAGCCTTAGACTGGGGAGACCAATGTTGATCAAAGGCCCTTGAAAACAATGCTTTGGGCAGGAATACACGAAAGGGTTTGTACATCTGGGGATGCCCGTCTACAGGGAGCCGGTGTCACATGGTCGGGCGGGATGGTGAGGAGGAGACAGCGGCATCACAGTGGCCTCTGGTGCGATGTATTTACAACAGAGCTCAAAGTTGAGGGAGGGAAGGAGAGCAGGTCACTAACAGCCAGGAAACACACTGTGAAGAGTGGAAAGAGAATGGAAAACGAATGTGACTGTCACTAGCTCACCCCACTTACCCTGTCTCCTCCAGGAAGCCCTCCCTAATGATCACCATGGCCTCTGCAGATCTCGCCACCTCTTCTCAGCCCCATCCAGGGCTAGACACAGGGTGTGCTCTCAGTGTACAGCTGATCTGACCACAGCTCCAAATGGGCCAGGGTCCCTGGACACTGCTTACTGAGAGAAACTAAGTCTTTATTGTTGATTCCTGGGATCCATCAAGGGCCAGTTGCTTGAGGGGTGGTTTGACATTAGGGAATCACTGTGGCTCACTGTACCAGGCTCCTGTCATCATTTTCAATGCCCACCTTGCTCTGTCATCCACACTGCTTAGGCCCTGGCATTCAGAACTCCCTGATGTAGAAACTGCATTTATTTCTTCAACATTTTTTCTTCAGACTTTCTCAGGGTGGTGAACAAGTTCCCTTGGAACAGCATGAGAATCAGAAAAGAGATTTTCCAACTGGCAGGCATGACTCTTCATATGGCCTGTGGGGCTCTGTGAGGATGGGGCTTCTGCAGTAAAGACTGGGAGCTCCTTGAGGTGGGACCAGGACCATGTGGTTTGGGTCACCACGCCTCTCTTCCTCCTCCTCCTCCACAAAGAAATCTACTGTGTCTCCTAATCCGACAAACAATTTCCTAAGATGAGAGGCATCCTTTTTCCTCTAGACCAGTGGTTCCCAAATGGGAATAACTTTGCCTCCCTTAAGACATTATGTAAAATCTAGGAACATTTTTGCTTGTCACAACTGTGTGTGTTGAGAGGGTGCCACTGGTTCCTAGTATGTAAAGTCCAGGGATATTGTTCATCATGCTACAGTGCACAGAATAGCCCCAGCACCACAAAGGATTACCTGCCTCAAATGTTAACAGTGCTGAGGCTGGAAACCCTGTTCCAGATCTCTACATAGCCTCAAGGTCTGCCTCACCTTCCTCGACAGCACAGGAGAAGGCATATAGAATTTTTCTAAGAGCCCGGAAATGGACAATTCCCATTCCAGCCTCCACAGGAAGGGGCATCTCAAGAAAAAGTACACATCACAAAGTGGGTAGGGGACTAGGCACCGTTTAATGTCAGTTTAGTAACAACTCACTGGACCAGAGCACACGGAAAGAACTACCCACGGCTTTGCAGAAACATACACGCTGGGCTCTGTGTTGAGGAGGAAGAAGAAAAGCATGGTGACCTAAACCAGGCAGGGGTAAGGCAGAGATATTTACAACCTTGCAAATATCTCTTTGTTGGGGTATTGCTGGGCTCTTTAAATCTTTGTACTTCCTTACCACTGGAATCCACCGATAGGCTCTGCAAACCTGTGCCGAATCAGGAAAGTGGCAACAGCTTCAGCTACCTGGAAAAGGGAGAGATATTCCAGGCCATGTTAAGGGTAGCTACAGGGTTCAGCCTTGGAGATCCTATGGGCTTCTGTTGGAAGTTAAGGCGTTATAGTGGACTCATGGTCCTGCAGTTCTGGGAAGCCTGAAAGCAAAAGGACCTGAGTCCTGCAGGGATGGTTCCAGAAAAGTCAAGAGGAATGATGTGAAGGCTTAGCTATCCCTGTAGAGTTACAAAGCACTTTTTTCCTAAAGGAGGAGCACATATTAATTCCTAACTGTGCGTGTGCTTTAGGGAGCAGTGTCTACCACAGTTATTCCTTCTTCCATCTGGCTTTTGCAGATAATGGAGAAGTACAGCTTACAATCTTAACCACAGTGTGTTAGTCGCTCAATCATGTCCAACTCTTTGCAACCCCATGGAGGAGGCTCCTCTCTGTCCATGGGATTCTCCAAGCAAGAATACTGGAGTGGGTTGCTATTCCCTTCTCCATCTTAACCACAGGGCCCTGGGTAAAACAGCAGGGCACCAGTAGCTCTTCAGCCCATACACAGAAAGGTAAGACCAAAAGCAGCTGTCAGGGAAAGGTCTGGGGGGCTGGTGGAATTGCATGTGTGTAGGCCCCACAGCAGCTGCTGCAGGCAACACAGGCTGACTCAGGGGCTCATGCTGTCTTCTGTGAGATCCACAGTTACTCTCACAGTGGCCCTTTTACAGGCATCCAGCACCACGCTCACCTTGTCCGGAGCATCCTCATGGACCGCGTGGCCACACTGGGGCAGGACCTGCATCTGGAACTTCCCTGGGGGAAGATATAAGCCAAAGCCACCTCAAGGACTGAAATGGTCCTCTCCTTACCGTCTCTGCAGCCTCACAGGTCACGCTAGCAGGCCAGGACCTCCCCATCACCCCACCCCAACAGTCTGGACCCAGTTAACAAGCCTGTGAGGAAGATGGTAATACCTGACATTGTAACCTTGAGTAAATCATTTCCCTTCACTTCTTCCTTCTGCACCTACTTAATATGCATTTACTTTGGGCCAGACACATAGAAAGAAACAGTTCCTATTTGCGCTATAGTCTAGTGGGAGAGCAAAACATAAAACTCAGATTTTAATGCAGCATGTAGTTCCTAGGATAACACTAAGCACATGGAACTGCAAAAACACAGGAATTGGGCCTTTGCAATAAAACAGGCATCCAGGAAGGCTTCCCACATAGAAAAAGTGACTTACACAAAGAAACGGAGGATGAAATGGTATTTGCTCCTGCCTGAGAAGATAAACTTTGGGATGGTGCTCATGAGAGTTAACAATGAGGCTGGAGATGTAAGCGGGGGCCTTATCATTAAGGGATTTGTAAATTAAAGATTTTGAGATTTATTATTACAATAATAAGTTACCATCTGAGTGCTTAACTATGTTCCAGACAGTACTAAACACTTTTTCACACTGTCCTGTGTAACACTGTAAGCTCAAACAAATGTGATCATTTTATTAAGAGTGGACAGAGATGACTGATAAAGCAAGATCTCTAAGGAGACTAAAGAATATGAAACCCACCCCTGGTCATCAAGGCCATGAGACATCCAAGCAGAGATGTCCAGCAGGTTTGATACATGGTTCAGGTCTGGACCTCGGGAGAGAGGTATGAGACGAGTCAGAGGTTTAGCTTTGTGAGTTATCAGGGTGTAAATGGGAACCATGACATTGCCCAGGGAGAGTAAGTAGAAAAGAAGGAAAGTCAAGAACAGAATCTGCTTAACCTTGGCCCTGGAGTTGGTACCTTTTTTCTTATAACCCAAAGTTGCCAATGCCTATTGACTTCACCTTCACCAAGCCTTTCATCTGTACTAAAGCCAACAGCTTCCATGAAGTTGGTTCCACTGCCTCCACAGTCATCTGGCCAACACACCTGAACCTGAGCACATGTCACTTTCCTACTCATTACACCTCACAATCCCTGTGAGGCTGCCATCAATTTTCTCATTCTACAGATTGAGAAAATTAAAGCTAAGAAGTAACTTGCCCAGGGTGAAAAAAAATTAGTAGGAAAGAAGTAGTACTCAAACACAGTTCTCCCAACCGCAGAGTCCTTGCTTTTACCACCTCATCATGTTGTCTTCTAAACAGAACTTGTATCTTTTTGTATCTGGGTTATCTTGGACCTTTCCCTTTCCTAAGAATTCTAACAATAATAAAAATACTGACCAGTATTCAGAATATCTCCTTTCATAATATCTGCACATAGTACTTTATAATGCCCCTTTCATAGACACTGCATCACTTTAATTCTTACAACTCTGAGGTCTATGTGGTAATATAATTCCCATTTTTAGACAGAAAATTTCCACATGACTTTGCCCATTTCTCTGCCCTTGGGGGACCTAGGAATTTAATTTCTTCATAACTTACCTTGCATTTGGCCAATAGTCAGATCTTTATCCAATCTATCAACACCTAGAATAAAATAAAGAGAATCCACAAGTAACTTATTTGAAAATGCTGTATGAAATAGGTTTTGCTGTTATGAAGTAAAAATTGTTACAAAGTGGTAAACATGATGACATTCTCAATTCATGTTAATGCCAATCCTAACTTCCTGAGGGTATAGTCTCACCACATGAAGCTTTCAAGGCTGAGGTTCCCCATAATCACTTTGCTTGTTTAAGCTGCTTTCTGAAAACAGGTTTTACTTTTTAAATTTCCTTTTTACTCAGAATATCCTTATACCACTCAAGGAGAAGGACTTGGGTTTGACAGGGTACAGAGACCAGGCCAGAATTAGATCATCCCTGGTGGATGCTCATGCTTAGTTAGTTATGGATTTGTCAAAGGAAGGAGAAAGGGCACAAATGAGTAAGGATGGTATTTCACTTTGGAAGTCGCTACCCGTATGGCAAACACTTTTAACAAAGACATAACTGAAATGACAATATACATACGCTGCTAGGGACTGACTTGTGTCCCCCCCCAAAAAAATTTATATGATGAAACCCTAATTCACAATGGGACCACATTTGGCGATATGAAGGTAATTAAGGTTAAATGAGGAAGTAATTAAAGTTAAATGTGGTCACAAAGGTAGAGCCCTCATAAGACAAGATTAGTGTCCTTATAAGAATAAACACCAGACAGCCTGCTCTCACACACTCCGCCACATAAGAACATAGTGAGAAGGTGGTGGTTTGCAAGCCAGTAAGAAAGCTAGAAGTTGATAGGCTGGAACCTTTATTTCAGACTTACAGCTTCCAGAATTGTTTAAGCCACCCAGTATTTTGTTATGGCATCCCAGGCTGACTAATACATATACATGCACACTTACCAGCCAGGAGCAACAATTTAGGAATAGGACAACTAAGAAAGAGATTGGATAAGCCTCGGAACCAGCCATCCCAGTATTTTTCTGTTTTTGCCAGTTCAATTCTCCAAGTGTACGGATGGTCTTTCTTGGTCTGAAAGAGTAAGAGCAAGTTTTGAGTCTCTGAGGGCAACCCAAGGAGGAACAGGCTAAAAACTAGGTCCTTGGGAAAAGGAAAGGGAAAGAAACTAGCACATATTAAGGGCTTACCATGTCCCAGACATTTTAATATATTTAATCCTTATAACAGCCTTGTGACATAAGTTATTGTTGTACTTGCATGTTTAGATGATTAGAAGTATACTTTTTACTTTTATTAGTTTCAGTGAACCTAGGAAACTTTCTTAAGATCACAACGCTAGTAAACTGGTACATCCAAGATTGAGCTTCTTATACTCATCTGGCAAAAATAACACATTATCAAAAGAATAACTACAGAAAACACACTGCAGTATGGAAAAACGCTTATGACATAACATTAAGTGAAAGAAGCAGAGTACAACATGTCACCTGAGTTAAGATTACTACTGGAAAAATATGGTATGCTTTGAGAATGAACTAGAAGGGAAAACTGAAAATATGTTGATAAAATATTTTTTCTTTTATTTTTATATATGACAATGATACGATGTAAACATTATGCTAGTGTGTGAGCATGCTCAGTTGTGTCCAACTCTTTGCAACCTCATGGACTGTAGCCCACCAGGCTTCTCTGTCCATGGAATTCTCCAGGCAAGAATACTAGAGTGGGTTGCCATTTCCTTCTCCATATGTATGTTTATATAAACAGTAATTTATATATAATTGAAATAGTAATTTTAAAAAGGAAATGACCAAATATAACAAAAGCTGTTAAATCTCAATATAAAGTAGATGGCACAGAGTATGTGCTCATTAAATACAAGCTGAACAAATAAAATGTTCTCTACACTATTTTACATCATGTATATTTTGAAATATTATAACTGAAATAAGTAACTGGAATACCACATCAACCACAATATGAAAATCTAGAAGTGAACATGAGACAGCATATATTGTGTTAAAGATCACCAGATGGTTAAGATGTTCATGTTACCCAAAATGATTTGTAAATTTAACATAATCACTTTCAAAATCCCAATGGCATTGTTTGCAAACATAGAAAAATCTATCCTAAATTTCATATGGAATATTAAGGGATTAATATTTATTAATTTATCCATAAAATTCATATGGATATTAAGGGATCCCAAACACCAAAACAATTTTAATAAAGATGAACAAAACTGGAGGACTCATACTCTATTTCAAAATATATTACAAAGTTACAGTAATCAAAACAGCACAGTACTGGTATAAACACAGACAAATAGAGCAATGGAATAAGCTCAAGAACCCAGAAATAAACATCACATATATGGTGAAGTGATCCTTGATAAGGATGCTGAGACCATTCAATGGGGAAATGACAGTTTTTTCAAAAAACAGTGCTGGGGAAACTGAATACCCACATGCAAAAGAATGAAGTTGGATAATATATAAAAATGAACTCAAATGGATTAAAACCTAAATATAATAAGAACCTACAACTATAAAATAAAGTTGTAGGTTCTTACAAACTTTTCAATAAAGCAGTTTTTAAAAAGAGATTTATGCATAAAGAAACATCTCTTGGACAACTGAAGCTTATTCAAGAACCAAAATAATGTTTTCCCTTTTTTCCCCTGTATTTTAACCATTATATATTACAGTCCCCTCATCCCCAATAAAAATGTATAGCTTGTTTTCTTTTACAGAACAGAATGGATGCAACTGACCTCTTATGTATGTCTCAGGGCCATTTCAAACACAACTTTTTATACTGTGCTAAACAGAGATGCCCCTAAGAAGCTGTGCCTGGTTTTTTGTGTTGTTGCTGCTACATTTAATTGGCATTACTAACTTGGCATTATCTCCATCATTTTTATTTATTTTTCCTTTATTGCAATAACAGTGACATACAACATTGTTGAAGGTGTACAACATGTTGATTTGACACATGTACACACTGCAGTGATTAACACCATAGCGTGGTAACCACCTCTATCATGTCACATAATTATCATTTATCTGTGGTGGGAACAGTTAAGATCTAGTTGCTTAGCAACTTTGAAGTTTATCATACAGTATTGTTGCCTATAATTTCTACTCTGTGCATTAGATTTCCAGGACTTATCCACTAGCTGCAAGAAGCTGTGACTCCGGGGGTTTCTCTGTGTCCTCCCTCTGGTGGAGACTGTCTAGCTAACTTCCTCACTGACTGACATGCCTCAGTTTGCCCTCCTAACAGAACTGCTGGAGTTCATAAAATCCCATATATTAGGGCCTATAAAAATGATAAGAAAAAAATGAGTTGGAATTAAAATTCAGAGGATCTGGATGTGTTTTAGCACTAACATTTACATATGACCATAGGCAAGTATCTGCATCTGAGTTGCAAAACTGTTAATATTTACAATGCAGAGCCAAACTGAGAACTAGAGTTGTTAATGTGAATCATTCAGTATAGATCCTAGCACACAAAAGGGAAAAAGTAACTGACGACTTGTATCAGAGTCTCAAATCCACTAAACACTATTTGATTACCTTGGACAAGTCTCTTCATCTCTTGAGTCTGTTTCTACACTGTTAACATGTGAGAAAAGCTCTCTCCTCATCTCACAGACTATGGGAGAGCAAACTGATCACACATTATTCATAACTTTGTGAACTCCAAAAAGGTACAAAGTATTATCTTAAAGATGACAAGAAGATCCTAACTAAATTAAAACTACTGTTTTAAAAAATGTACTCTCCTCCTTGCTGATGCCAGCATCTCCAAATGCAAAGGAATATGTGGTGTACACTGGGTCCATTCCCTGTCATTAGTAAAATATTCATAATTCATCCCTGAAAGTCTGTGGCTCACACTCACTAATCACTTATCAGAAAAAGCACCCCTTCCCACTACCATCCTCAAATCAGTTGCTCAGCAAGTTGTCACAGAACACTTACTATGCACACAACCTTAAGCTCTATGTTGAGGGAAATTCACACATAATATCAGTTCCTCCCCTCCAAATACATAGGTTATTTTTTGGGGGAGACAATGCTTGTTATTAGAGGACACTGAACCTGTATTATAGGGATGACTATTAGAAAACCATACATTATGAGTGTGGTTTAAGAAAATCAGTTCTATGACAGTCACAACTTCAGAAAAGAAAGTGCCAAGTTGTGTCCTACAGACTCTCAGTGCTATACTACAGACATAAACTGAGGTCGGAAAGCTTCCCAAGGAGATACACCCTGAAAGATGGGTAGGATCTGATCGGTTTTCTGTAGACTGGTGGTAGGAAATGGGATTTTTTCATGAGATAAACCACAGGAACAGAAGTGGAGGTGAGAAAGGGCCTGATGAGAGAGCAGTTCTCCTGAGGGCAGGGTAATACTGTGAGTTTTATGTTCCAATTTGTCAGAGTCATCAAGAAGTGCTTTATGCTTTCAGCCAGAACCACCATCTTCCAGTAATTCGCCAAAATGACCAACACAAAAAGAAAGAGAAGGGGCACCTGCTACATGTTCTCTAGGCCTTTTAGAAAACTTGGAGTTGTTCCTTTGGCCACATACAAGCAAATCTACAAGAAGGGTGATACTACAGGTATCAAGGGAATGGGTACTGTTCAAAAAGGAATGCCCGACAAATGTTACCAGAGCAAAACTGGGAGAGTCTACAGGGTTATCCAGCATGCTGTTGGCATCATTGTAAATAAACAAGGGCAAGATTCTTGCCAAGAGAATTAATGTGCGTATGGAGCATATCAGGCACTCTAAGAGCCGACAGCTTCCTGAAATGTGTGAAGGAAATGATCAGAAAAAGAAGGAAGTCAAAGAGAAAGGGCCTTGTGTTCAGCTGAAGCACCAGCCTGCTCCACCCAGAGAAGCACACTTAATGAGGACCAATGGAAAGGAACGTGAACTCCTGAAGCCCATTCCCTATGTTTATGGCATTTTGGGTGTAAAAATAAAGACCTGGATTGTAAAAAGAAAAAAGAAGTGCTTTATATCTTACAGTTAATCTAAGTAACTATTATGATAGTATCTTTCTCCCTTAAAATATCTAATGAATGTCACCTTCCTTTCCCCACCTTACACACTATCCCATCCTTCTAAGAATACTGACTTTCACTCACCTCCATGTCATCTTCCTTTTTCCTCTTGTTTACTGACTCACTTCCTTCTTCATCTTCTTCTTCTTCCTCAATGATTCCTTCCACTATAGACTTTGAGCCTTCTGGACTTGTAATTCCTTCACACCTAGGTATTAAAAAAAAAAAAAGTGCTATCACACACCTCTCTTCTATACATAAATTACCTTAGAGAAGCTAATATTTATGGCTTTTTATAATCAAATACTAGTTAAAACTTAACAATGTTCCAGGAGGAGGGTGTGAAAAATGTGCATTTCAAAGTATACAAAAGTATACCAGGGCTGTGGAAAGTCATGACCAACATTTGACTATACTCCAAGGGCTGGTTTCTGGTTCTTGCACTGATGCATGTTTTGTCACTCAGTCATGTCCAACTCTTTGTGACCCAAAGGACTGTGACCGGCCAATCCATGATCCACAATCCATGGTCCACGGGGTTCTCCAGTCCCCTGGAGTGGGTTGCCATTTCCTTCTCCAGGGGATCTTCCCCACCCAGGGATTGAACCCAGGTCTCCTGCATTGCAGGCAGAGGCTTTACCATCTGAGCTACTACTGACCCACAGAAGGTAGTAACCATTTCCTGAGGCATGGTGACAAAGAGTTTTATTGGCATTATCTTATATAATCCTCATAGCAATCCCTTAAAATAGCTCTGAAGAGTTAAAAAATTGTCCAGGATCACTTAGCTCATGAGTGGATGAGGCTGGGAGGCAGATCCAGGCCCAATTATAAAGCATGGTGTTTTTCTACTGTACCCTGTTTATAGTACAACAAGGCTGAAACAGATTGGTAAAAGGCCCCCAATTTTAATTAGCTGACAGAAACTGGCAATTACAATAACCAAGGCCAGATAAACCTTAGAGATTCGTGCATCTGATCCAACCAGTTATTGTTGTTTTTCATCTAAAAATAATATCTCTTTATTTTATATAATTAGATAGAAAAAATATTACAGGAACAGCTGGTACCATAATTTCTTTTAAAGAGAACTCATTGAACAAAAATACATTGACAGGTGATAAAAGTAAAACCTCAAGAGCCTAGGTAGCAGCTAGGGCCAAAGTCTGTTCTTCATGATAATTTGTCATTTTGCCCTTGAAAAAGGAGAAGGGAGACGAGGAGAGAGAACAAGCAAGATAGAGAGAGACTGGGACAAATTGAAGGGTCAGTCAAACTTTGGTTGTAGATTTTTTAAGAATGGTAACTTCAGTCTTCTCTACCAAACCTTCAGTGATGTATATGTTCACAAGTGTTTTGTTAAGTGGGAGTTTTCTTAGGAGCGTGAGGTGTCAAGTTTCACAATTAGGTCAAAGTATTAACGAAACAATATGTGCTTTGGGCTTCCACAGCAGTAAATTGGGAGGTTTAAGGGAATTATAACTAGATCAAGAAGGGCAGGAAGGTTCCAGTGGGCATCTAAGTGACAATTAAAATGCAGATTTTTACATACATAGTTTTACATATTTAGAGAAAACATCACTTGAAGTAAAAATGTAAAGATAACTGAACTACCTGAATACAAGCCATGTAACTCTTCATTGCTTAAACAAATCAGATCTCAAAATATTCAAGCATTGAAAAATGAACAGTCTCACAGCTTATTTAAAGCCTCTGCATTGTGCCTGCCAGATATTACTACTTAAACTGCTCTTTTGGATATAAAATCCATCATGTAGGCCTTAAAGTCAAATACATAGGAGTTTGAGTTCTAAGAATATGAGTTCTATCAATCATTAGTTATGTGATCCTGGGAAAGTCACTTTACCTTTCTGAACTTCCATTTCCTCCCATATAAAACAACAGTTACCTTGGAGAGGTATTGTAAGGATTAAATGAGATAGTGCAAATGAATGAATGAAATGAATGAATGAATACAGGTAGTTATCATCAATGGCTACTAATACTAAAAAAATAAAAAGACAACCAGACATTATGTGCTTCCTGATAGCAGTACACAACATCACCTATTGCTGTTGCTATTTAGTTGTTTAGTTTTATCTGACTCTATTGTGACCCCATGGACTGTAGCCCACCAGGCTCCTCTGTCCATGGTATTTCCCAGGCAAGAATACTGGAGCAGGTTGCCATTTCCTTCTCCAGGGGATCTTCCCAACCCAGGGATTGAACCCAAGTCTCCAGCACACATCTCCTGTGTTGCAGGCGGATTCTTTGTGAACAAATAAAAAACCAAAATAACAACAAACAAATCTGAATTTGATCAAATCTCTGACCTAACTAACAATTTACAGAAAATACAAGGAATAAAGGAACATGTTAAATTACATCTTGAGGAATCAATCAGCAAATCCAGATTGTGGGAGATTCTACAGAGCAAACAACCAGGTTTCCTCAACAAATAAATTGCCAGGGGAAAAAGAGAGACAGAAGGGTAGCCTATACATTAAAAGATACTTAAGAGATTTATCAATCAATTGCTATGTATAAATTCCTTTTATAGTTCTGGTTTGAACTAAAAAAAAAATTAAGACAATCAGGTAAGTAGATACTAAAGACATTTGATGATATTAAGGAATTGTTAATTTTTTTAGGTGTGATACTGGTCTTGTGACTGTGCTTAAAGTATCCTTACCTTTTGGAGCATACTAAAATTTTGCAAAGGAAATTATATCTGAAATTTTTTTCAAAATATTTTGTCCTTAGGGGAAATAAATAGGGGCACAGATGAACCATGAGTTCATAACTGTTGAAGGTGGGTAATGGGTACATTGGGATCATTCTATTATTCGATTTGTGTATGTTAGAGAATTTTCCATTATACAAGGTTTTAAAATTACATAGTGTATATAAAATGCCTTGCACAATGCCTGGCAAAGAGCAGGCATTTAATAATGCCATTATCATTTTCATCAACCCTTGTACTCCCTGTCTGTCCTTTTCCCAATTCACCTGAAGTTTATTTTGTGACTACACAGCAATACCCAGGACTCATGTAACCCTATCTAGGAAGATCAACTGGGCTAAATAATCTTTTGAAGTCAAGTGTTAGTTGCTCAGTCATGCCCAACTCTTTGTGATCCCATGGACTACAGCCTGCCCAGCTCTTCTCTGTCCATGGAATTGTCCAGGCAAGAATACTGGAGTGGGTTGTCAGTTCCTTCTCCAGGAGATCTCCCCAACCCAGGGATCAAACCCAGGTCTCCCACATTGCAGGCCGATTCTTTACCATCTAAGCCACCAGAGAAGTTAAATAATAAATAATCTTAGCTCACCCTTAGGATCTGACTTTCACTCAGGCTATGCCAAAGCTTTTTATAACATGATTTCCTCACAACTAGGTTTGGCTTAGAAGGAGACTGTTACCAGAATGAAACCATGGCTGCCAGCACCAGAGTGAACACTTAATGCCCTTTCTCTGGTATTCTTCATTTTTCAACACCTATAGTTGTGTTAATAAGGTAATCCATTATTATATACAACACGGGTCCCCAACCTCCAGGATCTAATGCCTGATGATCTGAGGTGGAGCTGATGTAATAATAATAGAAATAAAGTACACAATAAGTGTAATGTGCTTGAATAATCCCCAAACCATCCCCCCGCCCGCCAGTCCATGGAAAAATTGTCTTCCATGAAACCAGTTCTTGGCGCCAAAAAGGTTGGAGACCGCTGATACAGAAGACATTATTTGGCTTTGGGATTTCTGCAAAAAAAAGAAAAAAATAGAAGAGAAAATCTATACAACTGGCCAAACTGAGTTCTGTTATAAAAATTATCTAAAATAATGAAGGTATTCACCAACATGGTAGAATAGATGTATGACCAAAAAAGCAATATATAATTCCTCATTATGTTTCAGCCTCTAACCAGCGCAAAGGGGGAAAAATAAAACCTACTGTTTGACTTGGCCAACCATTGAGACACGGGCAGACTCCAGATTCCGAATCTGGCCACTCTTCACACTAGAAAAGTGAGACAGGAGAGAGAAGGTTATTCATCTTTATCTTATCATATCAGCAGGGTCAAATCAATAATTTTGCAATTCTGTGGGAGCTACTAAAAAGGTGTGGTTATCAATGTAGCTTACTATGGAGATTACCACTACTTCCCATTTTGTTTTTATGGTGATAAACCAAGCAGTAAAAATTAACGCACTGAAGTCACTTAAGTCCTGGCAATATTTACCAAAAGGTAGATACCATATCCCATGCCTGAGCTCAAGAAGCACATAATTTAGTGGGGAGAAAGAAACAAAACAAATAATTTTAATAGAGTAAGGTTCAAAGGAACCTCATTTATTCTGAATGAAGTCAGAGAAAACATCCCAAAGTCTTGCCTAAACTCAGGACTGAGGATAAGTGGAAAACAAAAGAGGGTGGTCAAAGCAAAACAGGCAGAAGGCATACTGTGAACAAAGGTACTGTGATGTGAAGAGATCAGTAGGACGATGATCTTAGAGGGAAGAGAGCAAGGAGGAACAGGGGAGAGTAACGGGAGAGTGTGACAGAACAGGACAGGCAGGGGTTAGCTCCTGGAGGATGTTACATGCCATGATATAGAGGCTTAGGAGCTCAGACTCTATAAATAGAATAGTCTTCTCGGAGTTGACTAAGGGCCAAGAAAATAACTGCCTGTCCCAGGAGACCTGAAAACACTGCCTGAAGCAAGCCACCAGAACACATTTCTTTAAATCTCATTTTTTAGCTTAAAAAAAAATCACATAAAATTTTATACTGTAACCCCCTTTAGATAATGACTTTCTTATTTTAATGATAAACAGAAGCAATCAGAATTACTATTTCATTTTTCTACCACCAACTGAATCTACAAATCCACCCGTATTTATAATCACATACTCTACCTTGAAGAGTACTGAATATATGAAGTTATTTCTGTTCCTATTCAAGCCCAACGTTGGGCACTGGTTCAATCCTCATTTGTTCATGAAGATCTTGTTCCTTTACTTATCCTGTCTCTTATTTGTGTCATTTTTTTCTCCAGTAGATATTATTTTTTCTCCAGTAGATATTACATAAAACATCTAGTGGATATTATAAAACATCCTTTAAAAACATCTTCAACCCCACATTCACTTCTAGATACTACCTTACTTCTCTGCTCTTCTATCTCAAAAAAGTTATCTTACTTGCTTTCTCCACTTTGTCACCTCACATCCTTTCCTCAACCAACATCCCCAACAGGCATCAGCTTTTTATCTCCTACTTACTTTCCGAGATTTCCTTTGTCAAGGTCACCTTCATCAGGCCAATCCTAATGGTCATTTCTTAGTCTTGACCTCACTTGATCTCTCAGCAGCATTTGACAAAGATCATTTCTTTTTCCAAGAGTGCTAACACTCTCTTGCTTTCCTTCTATCTCACCAACTGTGCCTTTTCAGTCTATTTTGATGGATATTGCTTTCCTTCCCAAGCTCTAAATACTGTAGTTGTATCTCAAAGCTCAGTACTTAGATCTTTTTTCTATCAACTCAATGATTGCATTCAATCTTTTCTTTTTTTTTTTGCATATTCAAAGAGAATATTTTTATTTGACCATGTGAATAAAAGTCCTGATTCCTGCCCCTTGCCTGCCCTCAAATCTGCTGCTCTTTGTCTCTACCATTCATCAATTGTTGGGTTAAAAACCTAGTAGTCATCCTTGAAAGCTGCATCTCCCCTTACCTGCTCTCCCAACACACAATCCATAAGGCAATCCTGTCAGCTCTACCTTCAAAATACATTCCAAATATGACCTCTTCCTCTGTTGCCATCACCATCTATGCTGACCAGCATTACTCTCTTCTACAATTGTTTCCTAACCAATTTCTCACTTTTGTTATCACCCTTCCTCCTCAACTGCTTCCCCTATTCTGCTTTCCTCAGAGCATCTAGGTGGTAGAACCAAGATCCGAATCCATTTCTGACTTCAAAGCCCAGGCTTTTAATGACTACACCCTATTGTCTCTTATTTGCATGACTGAGAGAACAAAAGCAGAAATTCACTTTGCTTTAAATCTTTACTGGATTAAATAGATTGGTCTTGTATTTCAACATCTTGTCCCCACCTCAAATCTGGAATAATCAAAATGGCCACGAGTCATAAACTCTTCAGATATCCCTCAGACACAAAATAAAATTACCAAAAAGCTGGTAGTATTCTTTCTGATTCTTACGCTCAAAAGATATCTAAAAATCAGTGGCTCTCATAGAACCCAGAACATTTTAACATTCAACACATAGAATGCTTATTCTATCCCACATCTGATACTAGAATCAAGACTCTATCTCCCCTTAAGAGAAGGTGCACCACGACCCTCAGACTGGTTTGGGTACTTGTCTTCTGTACCTCCTTCGTTGTGTTGTGTTTATATAATTACTTGTATGTATTCCAGTTTTTTGATAAAAGGAACTAAGCCTAATTCATCCCCAGTTCTTAGGTCAGGTACTGATACATCTTAGGTACTTTAAAAAAAAAGTGTTCACTGAATAAATTTTAAAAGTTATCTGTGATCATTTTTTCACTGGTTCTTACTGGGGCGGCAGGCAGGATACCCAAGGTACATGTTGAGCTAGTAGGAGTTGTATTCTCAGTGTGGCTGCTTAAGCGATCTTGGGTACTTCCAAGAGAGCATCTTACATCAAAAGCAACCATATCAAACACAAACATCATTCTGGCAAGCCATATTTGGCATGAGATCCTCTGTCCTAGGAGGAATCCCTAAGATACATCTGCCAGGTTCTTAATTCTCACTTGATATCTCTGACTCAGTAAATAGATACATTCTGCCTGCTAAAGCCATCTGCAGTATGGTATATGTGATATGAAAGTACAAAAGAAATAGAGAATAGCTTCTGATCTTATAATGCAGGAAGAGCATTAAGACGGAAATAAAAATTAACAATATAAGCATATCCCTTAAAGAAGGACTAGAAGACTTAAGGGGTAAACAGTATAATGTAATATAGACTTGAAGGTTTTTAGCAATTTTGCTGAGGGAATGACCAGGGTGGTTTGGAGGAGTTATAGGAAGTGTTCTGGAGAGGGGACTAGAAATGGATTTTGAGGAATAGGTAGGAAGAAAGGATACTGAAGACATTTTATCCCAAAACTGATCTCTGTAGGGGAGGAACAGTGTTTTACTCATATTTGCATCATTACCCTTTAGCACAAAGTGTTCAATAAATATGTGTTTAATAAATGGTCAAATAATTTATTGAATTAGTGAATAACTTAATGACTGAACAGTCTTTACTTAAGTGGAAGCCATAGCCAATTCTGTCAGTAATTTCTATGAAAACTATTTAGCAAAGGGTTTTTATTTAGGCCAAACGCAAATAAAAACTGAGAAGGGAACCTACACCCATCTGTTTCTCCACCTTCTCTGGAACAGAGAAAGTGAATCCAGAATCACGGCATATCAGAGGTGGAAAAGGCCTTACAGTCTCATTTAGTCCAAAATCTCACCTTAGAGATGGGAACAGCTAAACAGCAAATAATCCATAATTGTTAAGATTCTAGGAGGTACTATAGTATATTAGAAAAAGGATGGGTTTTAGACAATTGAGCAGTCCAAAATGTTTATTTTTTAAAACTGCTCTTTATATAAATGTTTCCATACATATCACAACAAAGCTAAGGCTTGGAAACTGAACCATTCCCTTCAATTTGGTGCTTGAGCTGATGAAAAAGAAAAGCTAAACCTAACATTTAAAATATAGACAATAAAAAATAAATAAAATAAAATATAGACAATATAAATTTGTAGGTTACCTCCATTCAATGGCATTCTCCAGAGACTTGAAGGTTTTAGGACGACCACGTAAGAAATTCTGCATGCTATTAAGTGCATCCATGGCTGTACCTAGATGTTAAACAAAAAATTTTAACCACAGCAATTAACATATTCTGAGTCAACATAACTTAAAGAGTCAACTATATACTATATATCTCCCCTCAACGACAGAATTAAGGGACGCATGGAGGGAAAAAGCAGTTTAAGAAAATTCAGAAGACTGATGTGATTGCCTCCTTCTAAGATGTCCTCCAATGATTTTTGCCTCCTGGTATTCAGTAGTCCGTCCACATTGACTAGAGCTGACTTACACAAGCAATAGTGTGACTTCTGAGGCTGGATCAGAAAAAACATGGCAGCTTCTTTTTAAATAGTAAATAAAACTATGGGATGTACATACAAATTGAAATATTATGCAGCCATAAATGATGTTTATGTAGAGTTTCTGATGGCATGTAAAATGATTATATAATGTGAGGTGTGGACAAAATGAGTGACGGTGTGAAAAGTACAAACTTCCACTAATAAAATAAGTCCTAGGTATGTAATGCATAGCATGGTGATTATAGTTAATAATACCATATTGCATATGTGAAAAGTTGCTAAGATCTTATAAGTTCTCATCACACACACAAAAAAATCTGTAACTTTGTGTGATGACATATGTTAACTAGATATATTGTGGTGATAATTTCACAATATACACATATATCAAGCCATGATGATGCACATTTGAAAAGTTAAATGTCAATTATATTCAAATAAAAAAATACTTGGAATGCCTTTGCTACAAAGTAACATTTAAAGACATTTTTAAAAGATACATAAGACAGAGGGACATACTTCAAGATGAAAATCAACAATAAATAAAGACAAGATAACAATAATCTACCATGGATATCTTTTGTAAGTCAAAGATTTTGATTTAGTCAGCACTAAGAAAACTTACCTTCCACAACATCAATCATGCACAGACCCAAGAGGCTTGGCACCAGGCTGGACGATGCTGTGTGGACTGCAATAGCACCGCCCATGCTATGTCCAATGAGCATAATTGGAGGAGGCAGGTCCCCATACATGGCTTCAACCACATTGCCAACATCTCTGCAGAGAAGGAAATAAAGCAGGGCATATTACTCTCTAACAACACTGTAAAAATAGTTTTCTTTCCTAATTCTCTCCTTTGGTCTGTAACTAATAATCCCAGGGCTGTAAAGGTCTAATAGACCATCTTGCAAATGCACCTAAGTAAACCTCCTAACACAGTCCCCAGCACCTATACAAGAAGAGCTAAGAACCAAAACTTTGATCTCCCTTTACATCACACTTTCACTGTTCCACACATTTAGTACAATTACAAAAATATCTACCTTTATTTTAAACCTAAAATAGGCCTGAAACTCTGAACAAATCATTCAACTACTCTATGCCTCAGTTTCCCCATCCATGAAATAGGAAAACAATTTTTTTAAGCATTATAATGTAGCAGTTTGACATCATCTGCAAGATGAACTGGAGATCTAGTTTATTTTTTGCTGTGTGAACTTGGGTTAGTTACTTAATCTCTTAGGAGTTTCAACATCTATAAAATGAAGATAAGAATATCACTATTCTGGATTGCTCTGAGGATTACTAAGACACTCTTAGTGAAAAGAGTACTTTCATCACTTTACTTTGAAAAGAGTAAGGTGTTACACAAATATTAATTATTGTTTATAATTTGTCATGTAAAGTTGTTTGAAGTATGAATGCAAATGTAGTGTTCTAAGAAACCAGAAAAATGTTCAGAGCTAATTTTTACTGGCTTCTGTTCCAGTCTTTAATTATGAGTGAACCTATTTAACAAAGTCAAACCCCAAAGCTTTGAAAAGGAGAAGTAAAGCAGAAACTTTGTTTTTCATTCGTGTATGGGCCTTCTTTGCTATAGGAGGAGTAAGTAAGGTGCGCTTCTAGAGACCACTGGCTCTACTGTCTTCTGGGAGTGAGTCAGTCAGTCAACTTCAAGCAGTTTTGTCTTGCTGAATGTCACTACATACCTCAGGCACTCACGCACTGTCAGCCATATAGCAGCTGTGAATGTAGGGACACAGTCTTTCAAATATGGTTCTCCACAGTATTCAGAATGGCAAAAATAAATATTATTTCTGAAGGAATTAATCTTAAAAATCTCATACAACAATTATAGATATGAATAGGATAGTTGCAGTATCTACAGACAATGTGAATGAGAAATAAGCAGGCCACTCAACTTTATAAGCAAAAACAAATAATTTTTAATATTCCCTCAGAGTTAAATTTAAGGCTAAAAGTTTTGGTTTGTTAGGTTTAATGAGTAAAATAAAAGGATGCTATGAAAGATTATCTAGTTAGTAACTGGATATACAATTTTGGTAGATGCTATCTAGGGGGATCCTGTCATATTTATTAATACTAGTTCATTTCCTGAGAAGCAGTATAGCGTATCACAGACATGACAGAAAATGGAGTATCAGAGTAAGCTGAGCTCGAATCTCGGCCCTTCTGCTTTCAGTGGAGTTTCATTTTTACATAGAGTTTAGGTTCTAAGTTGATGTGAAAGGCAAAACCCATGCTGTCAGCACTACTTGAAAACCCACCAATTGCTCATTAAAATGCCCATTTTAAGATTTTTGTTTCACAAAATCTTTTTGAATGTTTTTGAATTCAGAAACAATATAAATGCTTTATTGCTTCACCTATTTCAGCAAGAATCCAACTTGTTGGCTCTTCTGATTCTTGGTAATTATCTTCAGTTCTTACAGAAGGTTTTAATCATTTATTTTCTTTTGAACTTTTTGTGTGAGTTATCAACTTATTATCTCTTAGCTCTTATTCACCATTTACATGTTCCACAATAACTGGATGAGGCCTTCAAATATTTTTCCTTTGCTAGCTGGCAAGATGTCAAGCTATGCCAGTGGAGGGCAAAGGAGAGATACTGCAGAGAGAGAGGGTTTTGTTCCCAGTGTGCACTGACTCCACAAGCTCCTGGAGCTTGTCTAGCATCCACGATCTGCAGCACACACAGCTTTTCCGGTGACCAGCTCTTGCAACACAGAAGGTTTCTCCAAACACTCCATCCCCCCATCCCTTGTGTTCTTTTATTCTCCCTAGATTTTTGAAGTATAATTGGTATATAAAAATGGTACATAATTAATGTATACAATTGGTAAGTATACATTCCTGTTATCATCACCATGATCAACTCCTGTTATCATCACCATGATCAAGGGAATAAACACATCCATCACCTTCAAGATTCCTTGCACTGCTCATTGTGTGTGTGTGTGTGAATGCATGCATATGCAGGGTAGAAAGACTTTACATGAGAGCCACCTTCCTAACTTCTACGTGCACAGCAGCATTAACTATAGGCATCATGCTGTACTGCAGATCTCTGGAACCGTCCCTGGTAATTTTGCTGCAGAGTGCCTCTGGTGAGACAACTCCATGTGAACAGCTTCCCCGAACCCAAAAGGGCAGATTTCTGGCAAGTTCTGCCAACAAAGCATCAAAGTGACTTCTATACCTTCAGTAAGCCATCACTAGTGCCCTCCCCAACAAGGTCTAGATCTCAATCTTTTCCACTCAGGTGCTGTCTCGGTCTGAGGAGAAATAGGAAATGGCTGCTTCTTACATCTGCTATTTCTAGTCTCTCCTTCTGTTTTTCAAACTTGTTCCCAGCTTTCCTGAGATGTAACTGATAGATAAAATTATAATATACTTAAAAAGTGTACAATGTGATGATTTGACATATGTATACGCTGTGACATTGATTCCCATAATCAACTTAATTAACCTTATATTCTTTAGAGCTCTTACTTTTTACCAGCCAATTCCTCATTACTCCAGTCCCCTGTTATAATTAATAAATCTTTATATTAAGCTTTCCTTGTTTATTACTATCTGATTTCTCTCTCCTGATTGTCCCAGATTCATACATGATTAGGCAATATTTCCTTAAGGTCATCATCAATTCTTCAATTTCTTCTTGAATGTCAGTCAAGCTATCACATCCTTGTCTGGCTGACTGGCCACTTAGATGATATATTTCACTTTTTTGTACCCTTTAAAAATCATCTGCAAATCTTTCTATGGGCATTACATGCTTGATTATTTCAGGCTTTACTGTTCTCATATTACAAAGGAAAAAATGAGGGAGCAGATTCTTGGCTCTCCTTTCGTGGTTTCTCAGGCACGACTATTGAGCTGAATGGTTCTCACACACTGTTATTTCTCTCTCTTTGCCAAGCACTACGGTTGAGTGATCACAGTTCAGGTCCATTAACTCTGTGACCTCACATGGTTAGTTACTGTGCCAGTTTCCTCATTGATAAAAAGGTGACAGTATTTACACTATGGATTAAAACAAATAATTTATTCTAAATAAATGTTTAATTTACACTTAATAAAGCCTGGAAGATAGAAATCACATAAATAATATCTACTATAACAATACAATTTTGGCCACGAGTTTGGGTTCTGAAGGAAAAACAGAACTTATATCCAGATTCAACTTTACTTATATCCAGATTTAAGCTGCTAAAGAAGGGACAAGGTATTTTTGGTGCCAAAAAAATACTTGAGAGCACATGCATTAAACACATGAGAGAGCACATGTTAAAAGCAAGGTAGCTTGAAAAAGCCTGTTTACAATACAGAGCGTTGTATGTGTATGTACTCAGTCGTGAGTGAGTGACCCCATGGACAGTGGCCCACCAGGCTCCTCTGTCCACAGAATGTTCCAGGCAAGAATACTGGAGTGGGTTGCCATTTCCTACTCTAGGGGATCTTCCCAACCCAAGGATCAAATTCGTGTTTCCTGCATTGGCAGGCAGATACTTTACCACTGAGCTACCAGGGAAGTCCATACAATACAGAATAGTGGTTCCCAAATACCAGTCATGGGACTGGCTGCATCAGATTCCTTTATAGAAGTTTATCAAAATATAAATGCCCAGACCCACTGGTAGAAGCATTAATTCAAAAGCTGTGAGGCAGGGCTGAATGATCTGTACTTTAAATCATTTCTCAGATAATTCTGATGAATGGCCAGGTTTGAGAGCCACTGTAGGTGCTGTACTCATCTTTTACTTTGCAGTTCAGGGTATAATCAGTTAATTCTTTAATACCTTATTCCCATCTTACTATAAAGCTGGAAAAGGCATGTGGGCAGGAATCTTAAGAATATCCTAGAGGGCCTTTTGTAAACAACTATTTTTCAAGCTTGGGTCCCCAGTAGATATTCAGATTCTATTCAACTGTGTGAACAGAAGGAAACTTTTCAAAAGCTAATACAGACTAAACTGTTCCCTGAAGAATTTTCAGGGCATCATTTTAAATGATGACCATCATATTGAATATACCAAGAAATTGGAGGTTTCTTTCAGTATTAAATAGTAAAGAAACACCAGAAATAGAGGAAAGAAAAAAGAAGTAAAATGTTCTCTGTTATTTATTATTCAACAATCTCACCAGGAGAGCCATAAAGATATATTATTATTTATGGTAGTAATGTAAGCCAGGTGATTGTATAAACAGTATTACTTACTTTGCCATTGTTTCCGCAGATAGGTCTTCAGAATTCCTGACTTTTGTTTCACCTAAAAAGAAAATATTTTAAAAATAAAATTCCCAAGGAGATAAATGATAAAATCAAGAGTACTGTCTTCCAAAAATCTCACTTTAGGACAATGAAATGGGGACTTTATAATTGTACATGATAGGCACAGCAAGGATTTTCTGTTACAGACTTATCTTTATGAAGGATAATTACAGTAGCAAATGAGGAGGATAATTACAGTAGCAGATTTTTCCACATTCCTTATACACCACCAGCACTGGAATTTGGTTACATTAGCAGACATTTTCTCAACAAGATATATATGTGTGTGAATTTATGAAATATTTGTGAAAACTAAAAGCTAGGATTTCCCTCAAAATGCCGAAATGGAAATGACCAAACCCAGTGAACTTTTTAATACTTTACACTATTCAAAAGGGTTGGCAAATATGTCATTGAGTCAGTGAGTAATTAAGAACTTCACTCACCATGACCTCGAAGATCCAAAGCCACAATCCTACATTGAACTCTACTAATGATTGCTGCCTAGGAGGAAAAGGGAAAGTATTATATAAGATACATAAGGATTAGCAAATCTTTCCCCATTACCAGTGATAACTTTGTTGGGTGAACTGCCATCAGAATTAAAGGATCCCAAGAGAATCAAAGGAATTCCCTTTGAAAAAAAATTTTAAAACTAATGACTCTGTTTTCTTAGTACACATTCTGGCTCTATCCCAACTTCAAAATATGAAATCCCTCTTTAAAATTTAATTCTTCCTAGCTTTCCATGAAACAGAATAAGCACCTCTAAGCAAAGCCCCTCTGAACTCTGCTATCACCTGTGATTTTCATCCACACTCACTGGTTATCTTTTCCCTATTCTAGAAGGGAAATTCTCTAGATAAGAACCAGTGAGTCAGTCTATATCTTGGTTCAGCATAGCACACAAATGTGACATTCAGATAATGAAATAACCTTGAAAGCAGCACAAGTCATAAAATTTACCAAAGATTCACTTAAGATAGAGCAGCAGTACACATATAAGTTTGTGCCAATTAAAATACATTGAAAAAGAAATCATAATATCATGAGCAAGTACAATTTTATTGGTTTAAACAAAACTGAAATTGAGGATCTTCTTCCTCAAATGAACTAGATTCTTTGACAGTAATACGTCACAATTAGTGTTAGTAAACGTCATTGACACTTTTTTAACTTTTAAGAAAAAGATAGGACAACTATCTAGGCTAACTCCTACATTTTATGAATGAGGAAACTGAAGTCAAGAGAAAGGAAATTATTTTCTTGGGATCATACAACTAGCAGTAAAAATAAGACCAGAACCAAGGTAAGCTACTAACATAACAGTCAATGTATAACATAAAACAAATCAAAGCTCTTAAATCACATTTTCTCATTTTATTTTTAATTGACTAAACATTTTTAATATACTCACATTATAAAAATACAGAAAATTAGTAAGAAAGAGAGGAGAAAAAAGCTCATGATTCGCCATCTAAATGTCATCTCTTTGGATGTTTTCTATGATCTTTTTCCCCAACTCTGCTGAAATATTATTGACATATAACATTTAAGTTTAAGGCACTGGATATGATCATTTGATACATGTGTATATGCAAAATAGTTATCACAATAACCTCCAGCCTCTCACATAATCATCATTTGTGTGTGTGGATAACATTTAAGATCTATTCTCTTAACAACTTTCAAGTATTAATACCATACAATTAATTAGTCACCATGTTGTACATTTAACAGATTCCCAGAACTAATTCATCTTACAGCTGGGAGTTGGTACCCTTTGACCAACATCTCCCCATTCCCCCACCTCCTCAGTTCAGTTCAGTTCAGTCGCTCAGTCATATCCAACTCTTTGGGACCCCATGAATCGCAGCACGCCAGGCCTCCCTGTCCATCACCAACTCCCGGAGTCTGCTCAAACTCATGTCCATCGAGTCGGTGATGCCATCCAGCCATCTCATCCTCTATCGTCCCCTTCTCCTCCTGCCCCCAATCCCTCCCAGCATCAGGTCTTTTCCAGTGAGTCAACTCTTCCCATGAGGTAGCCAAAGTATTGGAGTTTCAGCTTCAGCATCAGTCCTTCCAATGAACACCCAGGACTGATCTCCTTTAGGATGGACTGGTTGGATCTCCTTGCAGTCCAAGGGACTCTCGAGAGTCTTCTCCAACTCCACAGTTCAAAAGCATCAATTTTTTGGTGCTCAGCTTTCTTCACAGTCCAACTCTCCACATCCATACAAGACCATTGGAAAAACCATAGCCTTGAGCAGATGGACCTTTGTTGGCAAAGTAATGTCTCTGCTTTTTAATATGCTATCTAGGTTGGTCATAACTTTCCTTCCAAGGAGTAAGCGTCTTTTAATTTCATGGCTGCAGTCACCATCTGCAGTGATTTTGGAGCCCCCCAAAATAAAATCTGACACTGTTTCTACTGTTTCCCCATCTATTTCCCATGAGGTGATGGGACCAGATGCCATGATCTTAGTTTTCTGAATGTTAACCTTTAAGCCAACTTTTTCACTCTCCTCTTTCACTTTCATCGAAGCTTTTTAGTTCCTCTTCACTTTCTGCCATAAGGGTGGTGTCATCTGCATATCTGAGGTTATTGATATTTCTCCGGGCACTGATTCCAGCTTGTGCTTCTTCCAGCCCAGCGTTTCTCATGATGTACTCTGCATGTAAGTTAAATAAGCAGGATGACAATATACAGCCTTGACGTATTCCTTTGCCTGTTTATAACCAGTCTGTTGTTCCATGTCCAGTTCTAACTGTTGCTTCCTGACCTGCATACAGGTTTTTCAAGAGGCAGGTCAGGTGGTCTGGTATTCCCATCTCCTTCAGAATTTTCCACAGTTTATTCCCACCTCCTAGCCCTTGACAATCACCATTCTAATCTCTATTTCTATGAAGTCAGCTTCTTTAGATTCTACATGTAACTGAGAACATATATTATTTGTCTTTATCTGACTTATTTCATCTAGCACAACGCACTCAAGGTCCCCCATGTGGTTGCAAACAGCAAGATTCCTTTTTTTTTCATGGCTGAATATTCCTGTGTGTGTGAGAGAGAGACATGTTTTGCATGGAGTTATTCAGTTTTCCCAACACCATTCATTTTAGAGATTATCTTTTCCCCATGGAGCCTTCTTGGATTCCTTGGAATTTTTGGTTTCAGTAAAGTTGAATTTATCAACCTTTTTTTTATGGCTTCCACTTCATGTGGCTGCCCCACACCATATATTAATGTTCTTATCATCTTTTTAAATTCAGTAGTTTAATCCATTTGGATTTTTTTATATTAACTTATTTTTATACATGGGCTTATTTCCAAATTCTTTCTGCCAATACCATACTACTGATAAGAGTTTTAGAATATGTTTTCTTTCATGTACTGTTGAAGCCTTGCTTGGAGAATTTTGGGCATTACTTCGCTAGCGTGTGAGACGAGTGCAATTGTGCGGTAGTTTGAACATTCTTTGGCATTGCCTTTCTTTGGGATGGGAATGAAAACTAAGCTTTTTCCTCTATGACCCACATCCAAGAATATTAGAAACAAAAGCAAAAATAAACAAATGGGACCTAATGAAACTTAAAAGCTTTTGCACAACAAAGGAAACTATAAGCAAGGTGAAAAGACAGCCCTCAGATTGGGAGAAAATAATAGCAAACGAAGCAACAGACAAAGGATTAATCTCAAAAATATATAAGCAACTCCTCCAGCTCAACTCCAGAAAAATAAATGACCCAATCAAAAAATGGGCCAAAGAACTAAACAGACATTTCTCCAAGGAAGACATACAGATGGCTAAAAAACACATGAAAAGATACTCAACATCATTCATTATCAGAGAAATGCAAATCAAAACCACAATGAGGTACCATTACACGCCAGTCAGGATGGCTGCTATCCAAAAGTCTACAAGCAATAAATGCTGGAGAGGGTGTGGAGAAAAGGGAACCCTCTCACACTGTTGGTGGGAATGCAAACTAGTACAGCCGCTATGGAAAACAGTGTGGAGATTTCTTTAAAAACTGGAAATAGAACTGCCATATGACCCAGCAATCCCACTTCTGGGCATACACACCGAGGAAACCAGATCTGAAAGAGACACGTGCACCCCAATGTTCATCACAGCACTGTTTATAATAGCCAGGACATGGAAGCAACCTAGATGCCCATCAGCAGATGAATGGATAAGGAAGCTGTGGTACATATACACCATGGAATATTACTCAGCCACTAAAAAGAATTCATTTGAATCAGTTCTAATGAGATGGATGAAACTGGAGCCCATTATACAGAGCGAAGTAAGCCAGAAAGATAAAGACCATTACAGTATACTAACACATATATATGGAATTTAGAAAGATGGTAACGATAACCCTATATGCAAAACAGAAAAAGAGACACAGATGTACAGAACAGACTTTTGGACTCTGTGGGAGAAGGTGAGGGTGGGATGTTTCAAGAGAACAGCATCGAAACATGTATATTATCTAGGGTGAAACAGATCACCAGCCCAGGTTGGATGCATGAGACAAGTGCTCAGACCTGGTGCACTGGGAAGAGCCAAAGGGATCGGGTGGAGAGGGAGGTGCGAGGGGGGATCGGGATGGGGAATACATGTAAATCCATGGCTAATTCATGTCAATGTATGACAAAACCCACTACAATATTGTAAAGTAACTAGCCTCCAACTAATAAAAAGAAATGAAAAAAAAAGAAAACTAAGCTTTTCCAGTCCTGTGGCCACTGCTGAGTTTTCCAGATTTGATGGCATACTGAGCACAGCACTTTCACAGCATCATCTTTCAGGATTTGAAACAGCACAACTGGAATTCCATCACATCCGCTAGCTTTGTTCAGTGATGTTTCCTAAGGCCCACTTGACTTCACATTCCAGGATGTCTGGCTCTAGGTGAGTGATCCTACCATTGAGATTATTTGGGTCGTGAAGATCTTTTTCATATAGTTCTTCTGTGCATTCTTGCCACCTCTTCTTAATATCTTCTGCTTCTGTTAGATACATACCATTTCTGTCCTTTATTGTGCCCATCTTTGCATGAAATGTTCCCTTGGTATCTCTTAATTTTCTTGAAGAGCTCGTCTTTCCCATTCTATTATTTTCCTCTTTCTTTGCAATGATCACTGAGGAAGATGCTCTTATCTCTCCTTGCTATTCTTTGGAACTCTGCATTCAAATGGGTATATCTTTCCTTTTCTCCTTTGCCTTTCACTTCTCTTCTTTTCACAGTTATTTGTAAGGCCTCCCCAGACAGCCATTTTGCTTTTTTGCATTTCTTTTTCTTGGGGATGTTCTTGATCCCTGTCTTCTGTACAATGTCAAGAACCTCCATCCATAGTTCATCAGGCACTCTATCAGATCTAATCCCTTGAATCTATTTCTCACTTCCACTGTATAATCGTAAGGGATTTGACTTAGGTCATACCTGAATGGTCTAGTGGTTTTCCTTACTTTCTTCAATTTAAGTCTGAATTTGGCAATAAGGAGTTCATGATCTGAGCCACAGTCAGCTCCCAGTCTTATTTTTGCTGACTGTATAGAGCATCTTCATCTTTGGCTGCAAAGAATATAATCAATCTGATTTTGGTAATTGACCGTCTGGTGATGTCCATGTATAGAGTCTTCTCTTGTGCTGTTGGAAGAGGGTGTTTGCTGTGAAGAGTGCATTCTCTTGGCAAAACTCTATTAGCCTTTGCCCTGCTTCATTCTGTACTCCGAGGCCAAATTTGCCTGTTACAACCAGGTGTTTCTCGACTTCCTACTTTTGCATTCCAGTCCCCTATAATGAAAAGGACATCTTTTTTGGGTGTTAGTTGTAGAAAGTCTTGTAGGTCTTCACAGAACCATTCAACTTCAGCTTCTTCAGCACTACTGGTCAGGGCATAGACTTGGATTACTTTGATATGGAATGGTTTGCCTTGGAAAAGAACAGAGATCATTCTGTTGTTTTTTAGACTGCATCCAAGTACTGCATTTTGGACTCTTTTGTTGGCTATGAGGGCTACTCCATTTCTTCTAAGGGATTCTTGCCCACACTAGTAGATATAATGGTCATCTGAGTTAAATTCACCCATTCCAGTCCATTTTAGCTCACTGATTCCTAAAATGTCGACGTTCACTCTTGCCATCTCCTATTTGACCACTTCCAATTTGCCTTTGATGTGATTGATTTCCAATTTGATTCATGGATGTAACATTCCAGGTTCCTATGCAATATTGCTCCTTACAGCATCAGACTTTGCTTCTATCACCAGTCACATTCACAACTAGGTGTTGTTTTTGCTTTGACTTCGTCTCTTCATTCTTTCTGGAGTTATTTCTCCACTGATCTCCAGTAGCCTATTGGGCACCTACCGACCTGGGGAGTTCATCTTTCAGTGTCCTATCTTTTTGCCTTTTCATACTGTTTATGGGGTTCTCAAGGCAAGAATACTGAAGTGGTTTGCTATTCCCTTCTCCAGTGGACCACATTTTGTCAGAACTCTCCACCATAACTGATCCATCTTGGGTGGCCCTACACGGCATGGCTGATAGTTTCATCGAGCTAACATTAACTTCCACTATCAACTACTTACTTACCGTGAACACAGCCCAGGAAAGGGCAGAATGGCCTCCTCCATGCAGAAGGAGTAGGACTGGACCCTCTGAACCACTCTTGTAAACTCGAAAAGTGTATGAATAGTTAAAGATAACATATCTAAGCTTTTGCTCACTGAAATTTTTGATTACTTAATTATGATGATGCCAATCAGAAAATTCAGACAGGACTAAGCTATAAGCAAAGCTGCAGGCTTCCAAGCTTAAGAGACACTTACGAAGAAGTTTCTGAAATACCAGACCTGTTTTTAAGGCATGGGAGCTGTGTGACCACATTTTCAATGGAAAAAAAAATACACCGAACTATTCCCTTTGCCCTAATGAGGACATAATTCCTGGTTTCTAGACAATAAACTGGTTCAACTCACTTGACTCATGAAACTGTCCCCTCAAAAGATATATCAGTTTCAGGAATTTAATTTCTTAATCCCTTCCCATGTATTAGACAATTATAGCCAAATAAGATATTAATAGTCTTACAAATAACATCCCATATCGTGTAAGGAACAGATGGAATAAAAATGAAATGAACAGCAAAAATAAAGAACATTTTAGGAACTATACAAATCTTTGTAGACACTATAAATTTATTAAGGAATACGCCAGTTTGCAAAGGATATATCCTTGCCAGTTTCATTCTCTACTTCTACATCTTCCATGGACTCAAAGTACTGACTCCAAGGAACAGGAGAAAAGTCCCGCTTTCTTCCAGGGCTAAGGGTAAGAAAAAGAGAGAGATTACAAATAAAACATAGTCATGCATGAAAAGATAAAATCTTGATCAAAATATTAAACCTGAAATGAAAACAGCATTTCTTATAAAGATATAAAGAGTTTTTATACAGTAAGTACTACATTAAAATGTGTTTTAAAAAGCTCAAATATGTATAAAAATTTTACGATTTTAGGAAATTCATTAGTATATTTTAATCACAAACATATTGTATATATATACACAACACAAGTTCTCTCACCTTATTCTTGGCTATAGGCTCATTCCTATCCTTTCAACCCAGTTTAATATTGTTCCTACTACAATAATTTTTGGTCACTATTGCTTTGTCATACCTTTAATCTTCCATTTTTTTTCATGCTTCTATGTTATTTCCAAACCAAATGGCAAACTGGCCATATCAATACCTTGAATCTCTGGGCATTTATTTGAAGATAAGCTTACACATAACTGAAATGACTTATCTATTCAATGTACCATTGTCTGTAATAGAGAAAAACTGAAAATAACCTAAATATCAGCAGGTAACTGATTAAAATAAATTTTGGTGTATAGAGAAACAAGTTATAAAAAGCAATTATATATTGATAAAATTCCTTATTTATAGATATGATACACTGTGAAGTAAACAAACATGATACACGTACTACCATATGGGTAAAAACGGGAAATACATATAAATACAATTCCTTATGTATGTTCAGACTATCTCTGGAAGTATACTGATATAACATTGATGGTAACCTGGGAGGGGAACTATGACTAGGAGGAGAGAGGAACAATTTTCAATGCACATCCCTTTCTATCTTTATATTTTTGAACAATGTATCATTTAAAAATATTAAATCATTTTAAAACAAAACTAATCAATAAATATCCACTTACAACCTATGTCTTCAACTTTGGATGGAACATAAGAAAGAAACCCTAAGTCTTCCTCTACTTTCATATCTATTCTTCTTTCCAGTAATGAAGGAAATTCAGAATCCTATTACGAGCAAAACATTAACTACTGCCTAAGATCTTCTTATACATGCTATGAGACCAAACCGCGGGTATGTATAAAGTATAATATAAAGTCCCTTTTAAAAATTTAAGTGAATACAGAAGTACTCTAGGTTGACTATAATACGGAATGAATTACAATGGGGCAGGTGGGCAATCAAGGATGTATTCTCTCAACAGTCAAGTATTTATTGAATATCATTTTCACCTAGGCACTGAAACAGATTAGTGGGTCTCAATCCATGTAATAAAATTACCTGGGAAGTTTTAAAAAATACTGATGCTTAGGTCTAACTCTAGAAATTGATTTAAACCATCTGGGATGTGGCCTAGGTACTGATAATTTTTAGTTTCCCAAGTTGAGAGAGAGGTGCTAGAAATACAAAGAAGAGTATACAGTTTGCAATGACAGAGGAGTTCAAATGCCTCATCAGTTCAGTTCAGTCGCTCATCGTATCCAACTCTTTGCGACCCCATGAATCACAGCACACCAGGCCTGCCTGTCCATCACCACCTCCCAGAGTTTACTCAAACTCATGTCCATTGAGTCGGTGATGCCATCCAGCCATCTCATCCTCTGTCGTTCCCTTCTCCTCCTGCCCCCAATCCCTCCCAGCATCAGGGTCTTTTCCAGTAAGTCAACTCTTCGCATGACAGTTCCTACCATTTCCCTATAATTCCTAACACAGTATGAACTTGGGAAAATTCAACTGATCTAAACTCTTTCTGCCTTAAATTATAGTGACTAAGTAAAATAAGATATCTTTTAAAAGAATCAAATAAATCTGGTAGTTGTTTAGTAAATGTGTAAACCTACCTTCTGATAGAAAAACTTCTTCTGTGGAAGTAAACTACAACTTTAGCATAGAACTATTTTTCTGGTTTGCTGGTTACACTTGAATTCCTACTGGAAAACTGAAAGCAGAACTCTTTTACTCACAGTCACAAACTCATCTATGCATATATTAATTTGAGTATATATAACAAAAATAACATGGCATGCCAAACATATTATTATAGATTCTAAGGATTCTGAATGAAATTTTAATGTCTAGACCTAGGATATGGTAGCAGTAGTACCTAACATCTGCTGTACACAACAGTGAGTCACTGTTCCAATTTACAGGCATGATTCAATTTAATTCTTACAAAACTTTGGAAGTTATTTTTATCCCCATTTCACAGATGAGAAAACAGATTAGATACACAAAGCAACTTGCCCAAGGTTATACAACTACCAAGTGGCAGTAACAGGATTCAACTCCAGTTCATCACTCTTCAAAGTCTCTGTTCTTTATTCCAATGCTGCACTAATTCTCAGATTTTTAAAAAAATATATTTCTTTGGTTGCGTCAGGTCTTCATTGTGGTGCACAGGACCTTTGTTGCATCACGCACAATCTTTCATTGCAGCACACGGACTCTCTGGTTGTGGTGCAAGGGCTCAGCTGCTCTGTGGCATGTGGGATATCAGTTCCCTGACCAGGGATCAGACCTGTGTCCCCTTCATTGCAAGGCAGTTTCTTGACCACAGAACACCAGGGAAGTCCCCTTCAGAATTGTTTTTCTTTCTCACTCTTTCATTTATACTTCTGAAAAGTAATAAGGCTTTATTTAGGGTTTATTATCAAAGGTTTCCTGTTCAGAATCTAAATATCATTAACTTTGCCAAGGCCACAAAAACTCCAAGTTGGCCAGGCACAAGTCAAAGAAAAAGTACTTTCTACAATCAGAAATTATTGCCAGGAGAACAGCCTCTACTTATTTTTTTTTCCATTTATTTTTATTAGTTGGAGGCTAATTACTTTACAACACTGCAGTGGTTTTTGTCATACATTAAAATGAATTAGCCATGGATTTACATGTATTCCCCATCCTGGTCCCCCCTCCCACCTCCCTCTCCACCCGATCCCTCTGGGTCTTCCCAGTGCACCAGGCCCGAGCACTTGTCTCATGCACCCAACCTGGGCTGGTGATCTGTTTCACCCTAGATAATATACATGTTTCGATGCTGTTCTCTTGAAACATCCCACCCTCGCCTTCTCCCACAGAGTCCACAAGTCTATTCTATACATCTGAGTCTCTTTTTCTGTTTTGCACATAGGGTTATCGTTACCATCTTTCTAAATTCCATATATATGTGTTAGTATACTGTAATGGTCTTTATCTTTCTGGCTTACTTCGCTCTGTATAATGGGCTCCAGTTTCATCCATCTCATTAGAACTGATTCAAATGAATTCTTTTTAATCAGCCTCCACTTCTATCTAATCTTCCTTTAAAAAAAAAAAGTTTCAGGGACTACCCAACTTTCCCAATGTATGAGTAATTTCCATTGAGTTTAAAAGGCAATAATTTACACCTCAAAATGCTGTTCCTACTACCAGAGATTTTTCAGGCATACTCCTAACATCTGCATTTCAACACATAATTGTTTATACACTCCAAGACTTGAGGACATTTGGTAATTTAGACAAGAAGTAAAATAGTAAGGACCTTGTATGAAAACTAGTTCTAAAAAATACATGCACCCTAATATTCATAGCAGCACTATTTACAATAGCCAGGACATGGGAGCAACCTAAATGTCCATCAACAGAGGAATGGATAAAGAAAATATGGTACACATATTCAATGGAATATTACTCAGCCATAAAAAGGAATGAAATAATGCCACTTGCAACAACAAGGATGGACCTAGGGATTATCATACTAAGTGAAGTAAGTCAAAAGAGAAAGACAAAAACAGCGTATCACTTATATGTGGAATCTAAAAATACGACACAAATGAACATACCTATAAAACAGAAATAGACTCACAGATATAGAGAACAGACTTGTGTTTGCCAACTTGTGATTGGGGATGCAGGCGGTAGGGGGAGAAAGGATTTCAAGTTGGGGATTAGCAGATGCAAACTAGTATATATAGGACAGATAAACAAGGTCCTATATATTCCATGATAAACAATAGAAAATATATATTTATTCCTAACTTAGTGACTCTGCTGTACAACAAATTAATTCAACACTGTAAATCAATTATAGTTTGATTTTAAAAAAAAACCCTTGGCCTGTATGTTAACCTTAACAATCTATTTCCAGCAGAAAGTGGAAAAATTTTAAAGGGGATGAAAAGAATGAGGGGCTATTGCACTCTTAAAACTTTTAAAATCTAAATTAATTTTCCATTTGCTAGAGACTAAAGCTTTGTTCTGCCATTATTAATTGTGTGACCTTGGGCAAGTCACTTAACTTCTCAAGGCCTGAGTTTCTTCATGTCAGATAGATTTGTAGCATCAGTTTTATATGCTTTGTTATGAGGATTAAAGTAGTCCTTTGGCTACTCTCAAATTAGCCTGTTCCATTCTCTGGCAGCTCAAACGGCAAAGAATCTGCCTACAATGCAGCAGACCCGGGTTTGATCCCTGGGTCAGGAAGATTCCCTGGAGAAGGGAATCTTTTCCATGGCAACCCCCTCTAGTATTCCTGCCTGGAGAATTCCATGGACAGATGAAGATGAGCCCAGTAGGCTACAGTCCATGGGTTCACAAAGAGTCAGACACAACTGAGCAACTAACACTTATTTTTGTCATGGAGCCAATCATTTTCAAAAATTAGTTTATTCCTTTGATGTATGGATCCCGGTGAGGCTGCAGAAGGAGAGGGTGGTGAACTGGGAGAATAGGACTGACATATACACTATCATGTATAAAGCAGGTATCTAGTAAGAACCCTACTCTATAGCACAGGGATCTCTACGCAATGCTCTGTGGTAACCTACATGGGAAGGAAATCCAAAAAAACTCCATCTTATTTGATAGAATACATCCTCCATTAGCTTCCTGAGAAAGGGGAATTAATTTTGAAACTCTGCATGTCAGAAAATGCTGCTACCCATTTTTACACTTGACTGACAGCTTTTTTTGATATTGAAAATTTTTTTTGATATTGAAATTTTATGCTACAGACATTTCCATAC